CGAGTAGCTGGGATTACAGGTGCAGGCCACCATGCCAGGCTGATCTTTGTATTTTTAGTAGAGATGGGGTTTCATCATATTGGTCAGGCTGTTTTCAAAGTTCTAACCTCAGGTGATCTGCCCGCCTCAGCCTCCCAAAGTTCTGGGATTACAGGCATGAGCTACTGCGCCCAGCCACTATGGGGTATTTATCTAAAGAAAAAGACATCAGTGTATCAAAGGGATACACCCCATATTTATTGCAGCACTATTCACAATAGCAAAAATATGGAATCAACTTAAATGTCCATCAACAGATGAATGGATAAAGAAAATGTGGGCAATGTACACCATGGGATGCTATTCAGCCATAAAAAAGAATGAAATCCTGTCATTTGCAGCAACATGAATGGAACTGGAGGTCATTATGTTAAGTGAAAAAAAGCCAGGAACAGAAAGTTCTGTAAGAACACCACATGGTGCTATCCAAATGTCACATATTGTGCCATTTAAAAACAAACAAACAAACAAAAATACACCACACGTTCTCACTGATATGTGGGAGCTAAGAGAGTTGATCTCATGGGGGTAGAGAGTAGAATGACAGTTACCAGAGGTGGGAACAGTGTGTGTGCTGAGGGGAGATGGGAGGTTAACTGGTGCAAACATACAGTTGGATATTAAGAACAAACTCATTAAGTAGTGTGACCATGGTTTGTAAAAATGTATTCTATATTTGGATAGCTAGAAGAGAGGACTCAAAATGTTTCCAACACAGAAATAACAAATACACCAGGGCAATGGATACCCTAAATACCTTGACTTGATCATTACATATCCTATGCATGTAACAAAATATCGCATGTACCCCACAAAGATACAAATACTATGTATAGATAAAAAATAAACGTATAAATGAAAGATATATCTTTAAAAAGTCAATGAATATGGGACATTGGAAAGAACACAAATCTGGTTTTTAGGCTTTGGAATTATTGGCTTTGTGTGATTTAAATTTCTTACATTTTAATTTACATAATTTCGTCAATAATTACCTTCTCCAGGACTTTAGTGTCAACTAAGTTATATTTAAATAATTAGTTACTAATTAAACACTTAAAAGAATGGATCACTACTAGATATGTTTTTCTGCCCAAATCCCACAATATCAATTTATAAAACCTCAAACTTTGTTTCTACTCATTCAGAATGTTCTATTATTAATTAGTGATGAATTCTGCTACCTAAGAACATGCCCTAAAACTCAATTTGTTTACTTACCTACAATGTAATTGTAGATTAACTACATTAGGCTGGCTACATTACGCACAGCTATCTCTGATTCTTTGGAAGAGTCAAGGGGAAAGGGGAAAGGAGAAAGGGAGATCACACCATTTGCAACTTCTCCAAGTTGCTGGCCCCAAAACCAGACTGTCGCCCGTTGTTAGCTGTGTTGATAAGGGATATACAGTCCAAACAGAAAAGGGATTGTGCATGCTTCCTATTACCAGTAAACGGAAGAGCTGGGAGCAAACAGTAAGAGGAAGTGAGAAATTACTTTGGCCATTTCTTGCTCCAGCTGCAGCCTCCGGTTGACCTTCTGCTGGTAGGTTTTGATGACATTCTCCACGTGCTGCTCCATGAAAAACTTAAAGGCGTATGGCGAGTAGCTCTTGATGCGTGACTCCCTCTTCTCTTCGTCTCTGCTGTTTTTGCGGACGGGAACGGGAGAGGTCTGGATCTGCTTTTTATCCTTCCCGCCTTTGTCCGCCTTGGTGCTTTTCCGGCTCTTGTCGCCACCGTCGGGCTCGCTGGGGCCTCCACGGAGGCTCTGCTCCACACCCGCACACAGGCTGTCCAGGTCGTACTGCTCAGACTTGCTGCGCAACAGCAGGTGCTTCGGGTAGGGCGGCGGCGGGCACCTCCGGTCTGGGCCTCCGTACTCCATGTCCAATGGGTAGGCGCCCGCGCCACCCAGCGTCAGGGCGTGCTCCTCCTTGGCATCCAGGCCCTCTGGGGCCGGGGCCGGCACAGGTGCGGGCACCCAGGCAGGGTGCGAGGGCCCCACAGCCGTCTGCGGCTCAGGCCTCAGCACACGCACGCTCTTCACCGGGTGCAGGATGTGTGCGGCCGTGACGGCCGTCACGGTGTTGGAGGCGGGAAGGGAGGGCTCAGCCTTGCCAGGAGCGCCCGACCGTGGCTGGTGGCTGTTGAAAGAGTTGGTCCTGCTGGGCACTGGGCAGTCGGGCCGGAAGGTCCCGTGCGCGCGCGGCGGCGCCTCCAGGCCCGGCTTCTGCAGGGAGTCCCGGCGGGCCAGGGTGGCGGCTGGCCACTGCTGGACGGGGGTGCTGCCCAATTCATACAGGTCCACATTGAGGCTGTTGCGAGAGGGGGTGAGCAGGCTCTGAGGGGGACTGTCGCTGGTGAACACCTGGCTGCGGGAGCCCAGCAAATGCAGCTGGTGGGCCGCTGGGCTGGCCTGCTTGTGGTGTGGGTGTGTCACGTAGATCCCGGAGGTGGGGGGCGGGAAAGCGAGGCTGGTGCCGGGCGGGCCCCCCTGGGCCTTGGCGGGAAGGCTGGCATAGCCCCCAGTCTCCGGCGGCGTCTTGCTCTGGAAGGAGGGGCTGCGCTGTACGCCGTAGCCCAAGGGCTCCGCGGGTACCAGCAGGTGTGGCCGGCCGTAGTGAGCGCCCTGCAGTGGGAAGTGCGCCCCTGCTGCCTCCACGCTGGCGCCGTAGCCCTTGGGCGGGTGCTGGTGCTGATGCTGGTGGCCAGGCCCATGGGGGCCGACTCCGGGGAAGAGGTAGTCCACATACGGCCGCGGCACCTCCTCCAGTGCCGCGGGGCCGTCAGCGCCAAAGCTTGGGCCCTCATAGGGGGCGCCGCCGCTCAGTTGGTGATAGGATGCAAAAGAATCGCGGGTTCCTTCGAAGCTGGGCCTCCGTGTCACAGGGGTTGGCATGAGCCCCTTTCCTGCAGTGGAAAAAAAATGGGAAGACAGCATCAAAGTGGGTGTGATCAGTGGATTCTGGTACCTTCAGGCTGGTCCCCACTCTAGCGCTGCCCTCAGGGCTGGGGGTCTTGAACCCTGGGCCCTGATGCGCTGCATTCTGCCCAGCACAGGGTCAGTGGGCTCCCCTCTGCCCTGCCAGTCACCCTAATGTGTTAGGGCAGTGGGCGCAAAAGGGCACGCAGGGAGGCCAAGGACAGAAAAGAAGACAGCATCCCAGTCCTGAGGTGCATCCTTAACCCCTGGGGACTGTACCAGGGTCACTCTCCTGTCAGGCTAGGGAGCTGCACAGTGCCAGCTTTGTTTTCAAAACCTTATCATGCCCAAATTGTGGGAGGCTGAGTTTACCACCGCACCATTCCCAGAGTGCTGTTCCCTCACACAAAGGGCAGGACTGTATCCACTGTGCAGCGGCTGCTCCACTTTTCTTTCACCTCTTTTCCAAATTAAAACATTTTCTAGGTTTTTTGGGGGTCTGTATTAAAACAAAGCAACATATACACAACACTAACAACCACACAAAACCCCTCTAACAAATATCCAAATTGATTTCATCTGCTGCTACCTTAATCCTGACTTCCATTTTGAACACCTCCTCTGAAACAGACACCAGAAGGAAGGACGAAGGCTCCTTTCACTTCTTTAGGCCAACTGCTCTCTGCTTGGCTCGACTTGGCAGAGGGCGCCACAAGGTGGAAAGGCTGTGCCTTGCCTATAGGGAGACCACACCTGATACCTAGCAGAGTAAAGGCCCTGACAGCCTGGCACTGACCAGAGGTCACAGGCACACTAAGGCTTGGTTTTCCCTGGGCTCAGAAGATGTCAGTGAATACACACACCAAAGGCAAGTGCAGAGGGAAATCTGCAGGGAACATGGGGCCTGGCTTTCCCTTTGAGCTGTGCTCTAAGACCTCAAAACTGGAAGAATCCTGACATGGATGGCCAGCTGCAGCTGTTTAAGGAAGTTTCTTCTCTTAAAAAAAGAAAACAGAAATGTGTGTCTTCTTAACAAGGAATATTCAACTTACAAAAGTGAGATTTTTCTCACTTGCCACTTGAAGTAGGTTTCCCATAAAATAGGTAAAGCTCTTGCTAATTATTATAATTTTTCTTTTTTAAATAGAGATGAGGTCTCCCTGTGTTGCCCAGGCTGGTCTCTAACTCCTGTCTCCATCCTCTGGCCTTGGTCTCCCAAAGAGTTGGGATTACACAAGACAAAGCCAGACCAGACCAGACCAGATCAGACAGTCTTGGGATTACAGGCTTGAGCCACTGCGCCTTTATCACACCCCAGGGGCCTCAGGTACCAATCACAGATCACAGGGCCCATGTGCTCCATCCTGGGAAGGTAACATTCGCCCATAGTCAATGAAAAGCAGGGCTTTGGTGCGGTGCCTCAGGCCCTTCAAAGGGGATGCTGAGGGGGGCTCAGCTCTGCCCATGCTGCCTGCCGTCGAGCAGCCACTCTCAGAGGCTATGATGTAAGAGAGGTATGTTTTAGAATTGAGGAAAGAAGCCACCCTTGTCAAAGATCCCTCCACAGGCCCAAGAGAAAAGTGAAAAGACCATTTTTACTCCCACTTTGCTGACTTTTTTGATCTTTCATAAAACAAGCACACACCTTCCCCTAGGTAGGAAGTACCAAGGTAATTTCACAAGCGCCGGGCGCATCCCCTGTTCTACCACCTGGGGCTGCCCCTACCAGGGCCTGGCTCTCTCAGGGCAGGGCAGGCTCAGCTTGCCTGTTACCAGAATGAGGCAATGTGCCAGGAAACTGATTCTGGCCAGGCCAGGTCGGACCTCTCTGCCCATGGTTTTGTGTCCTAAAGCCACAAACCGTCTTCGCCCACCATGCTGTGGGCCTGGGCTCACCTGGGGAGGTCTGCTTAATGACCCGAACAATCTGCTCATTCCTTGGGTCCAGGTAGCCCATCTTGCTGATGTACTCCAGGGCGGCCTCGATGCTCCTGCTACCAGTTTGCTTGAGAGCTCGGCCAGCCATCTCCTGGGAGGGAAGCAAAGGAGAGGGAAGTACACGTCATCCTAAAGCAAAGCTGCCAGGGACTCCCGTCCCCAGTCTGTGCTGCAACACTTTGCCTCTGTCACTGCTGAGAACCTGTGAAGCACTGCAGGAGACCCTCAGAATGAGTGCAGGTGGCTGTGTGTCCTGCAAGTGCTTGATGACAAAAGCCTAGCATAAGCCACACCACAGACTATTTGGCCTTCTGTTAAGGACATATGGGAATTTTGATGATAGGCAGAGATTTCGATTCTGCTTCTCCTTAGAAAAGTTTTGTGGTTGGACTGGTGAGTTCAGGATGAACCTAAAACTAGAAACATTTACGGGGAAGAACTGTGGGAGCCAGGGAACCTGGCTTTAACCTCAGCTCACCCCCAGGCTAACTTTGGGATGAGGAAACCTGTCCCCAAGGAGAGGGTGCAGCTGCCCAAGAGTCATATATTACATGCCTACTATTTACAATGCCCTGTGCTGGCTACAGCAGCAGAGGACTGGTCCTTAGAGATCTGACTGGTACAAGAAAGAAAATACAGACACAACAGGAGCCCAAGGAGCCATGCTGGCACAGGACAGGTCCCTCAAACTGCTTGTGGGATGAACACAAGACAGAGGCTGGTGGCCACCACCAGAGAGGGCAAGTAAAATGGATGAGGGCCACAGGAGAAAGCCTCCTTCCATCCGAAGGACGAGGTGGAAGGCTAAGGTGGCATGGCTAAGCTGTGCCAGACTTTGAGCCCTGGAGAGAAAAGGCATTCCTGGCAGATGGGACAGCCAGAGCAGAAGCCTGGGGAAAGATGGGCTCATAGCAGCAGCACACCAGGATGGATGGAGATGTGGAGAGGGATGCACAAGATGGGGGCCAGGCTCTCCGGGGTTTTGTTCCATCTGCAGGCAGTCAAGGAAGCTTTTAAACAGGGACACACACGTCAGCAGGTCAGGCTGGGGACAGTTTTGGGTGCAGAGCTGGAGGCACTCAGGTGGGGGAGACAGAACAGGCAGGAGGGTGCAGAAGAGATACAGCCCAGGGGGGTGGGACTGTGAGGCTCTGACAATGACGCCCCCTTCATCTTTCAGGACGGAAAGAGCCATAGGCAAACAGGGAGGGTGAGCAGAGAGAAAAGAACACCATTGAGGCTGGCTCTGGGACAAGGGCGAAGCAGGCAAAGGCCACAAAAAGGGCTTTGGCAGGAGGAAACAAAATGCACAATGGGGAGCCCTGGAAAGGAGCCCACAGTTACCCAGAGAGCACCCAAGAAAGAGGTGGAGATGTAGAAAGACCCAGGGAGTCTTTCTAGTGGGGGAGGCGGTGCAGGGCTGCTCTGCAGCATGAAGCCTGGCCCTGGTCCTAGAGCCATTCTGCACAGAGAGACACAGCACAGTGTTCCCTTCCTCTGGATGGGGCATTGTGGTGCCCATGACCCGAATCACACTCAGCTGTGTGTCTGTGGTTCCCTTAGGACGAGAAGGACCAGAAAACCATGTTACTCATGCCTGCATCTGCCCACTTACCACAGTGCCTAGAACAAATTAAGCACTTACTATCCACATGTGATGGACTAATAGTAAATCAAGCTTTCCAGTCCTGGCCATATGACAGCAGAGTGGCAGGATAGAAAACGCTGGCTGTAACCTGTGCCTGTGTTCTTAGCGATGAGGGCGTGGGCAGGGCAAGATGGCAGGGACAGGGAAGGGGCTGCAGAGGAACACAAGGTGGAAGGCCTGGGGAGGTGCTGCCACATGGGCAGGCCACGTCACAGTGGAAGGACATGAAGTGACGGACTAGAAAGTGGTAATAAGAACAGAGCTGTTTGTTGAAGTGGCACTGGGACTGCCAGAAAGGGCGAATGTTTACAACCTTGAAGAGCCGCAGAGAGCAGACAGCAGTGGTTCAGAAGGGAAATGCTTCCTGGCCTCACCTGGGATGGGAGATAAGACTCCCACAGCCTACTTCACAGCTGTGCTATGTGATGAGATCACGTCTGCAAAGACTCAACAGCTTAGAGGAAGATACGATATAAGACCACATCTTTGTGGGATCACCCTGGAGCTTTTGGCGACCATTAAAAAAATGTGCCAATTGGGGCCAACTCTAACCGCAAGCCTTTCCATCAGCACTAACCGTTCAATTGCTTTGTCTGAAACGTGACAAACGCTCTGTCTCCTGCAGGGTGAATCACCAGCCTGTGCTTGTTAACCCAGTACCTGCTGACTGCCAAGGAAGGGACACCTCCAGGACAGGCTAGGTCGATGTGGATGTTCTCAAACTCTCTCCCTGTTTACAAAGCACCCACTACTCAAGATGTGCATGTTTATTGTGCTTCAAATCTAGGAACTCAAGTAAGAAAACTCTGCAAGGAGACCACAAGTGAAGACTCATGTTCAGAGGGGAGTTTCAAGTCATAAAAGTGAACCGCACTCATGAGCCAGCTTGTTTATAAATAAACCCTTCAAATAACCCATGTTGACTGACGCTTGCCCTTGTTATCTGTCCATCAATGCTTCTTTAACAAGAAATACATTAACTCTCAGAAGATGCTACTATACATATACATAGAGCTATGATTTAAATGCTGAAGGAAATGGGAACCCACTTCTAAATCCATCAGAAATACATGACCTCTGGGCTCAAAGTACATGCAGAATCACAGAGTGAAGCACAGAGTCTGGGGAATGGCAAGAGGTCAGAGCCAGGAGGCGGGAGGAGTGTGTCAAGGATGTGCAGCTGAAGCCAGCCTAGGAGCTTGGCCACTTCGTTTCTAAGAGTGTGTGGAGACCAAGCTGGATGTGGTGGTCATGCCTGTAATCCCAGCACTTTGGGAGATTGAGGTGGGAAGACTACTTGAGCCCAGGAGTTTGAAACCAACCTGGGCAACACAGCGAGACCCCATCTCTACAAAAAAATAGCTGGGTGTTGGTGGTGCATGCCTGTACTCCCAGCTACTCAAGAGGCTGAGGCAGGAGGATTGCTTGAGCCCAGGAAGTAGGGCAGGCTGGGCAACAAAGTAAGACTGTGTCTCAAAAAAGAAAAAAAATAAAAAATAAAAATTTTTTTTAAAAAAAGAATGTATAAAGATTGCCTTTTAAGAGTCTTTATCTAGAACTGTAGGTGGCTATTCCAAAAGATGGCAGGTTGGCACAGTGGTCCAGGGAGCAGAGATGGAGGCCATGCGCCTGGGTTCACCCCTCCCCTCTTCCACTTAGCAGCTGTGGTACCTTCAGCAAGTGGTTTCCCTACCCTGAGTGCCTGTTTCCTCATCTGGGAAATAAGGCTAACAGGTTGCTCTTGGGACTAAAGGAGATAATGTCACGTTTCGGCATCAGCATGATCTAAGGGTTAGCTGTTACAGTTCCCAAAGGTATCTTATGTGTTTCTGGGAAAAAACATAAAAACTGTAATTGTAGATTTTGTGCATGTTTGACATTTATGACTCTAAGGTTTTACTGTGTATTCTTCTTATAATAATTATAGAAAGAAGTGTAGTGAGTTCTTTTCACCAAGCCTCAACAGACACCTCCAATCTCGTGCAGCTTACCTCAGGGTGCTGTGTAAACATCAGCCACGTCTATGCCAAGATGTGGAAAGGCTGGGCAGCCCTGCCCCAAAGCAAGGATGAAGCTGCAAGTCAACTGAAGGCAAGGACAGCTCAGGTATGTGTTCTGGTATCTAGTGTGTAGAAAGTGATCGCAGGTATTTGTTCAATGAATGAGTGAGTGACTAAATTAGACTGACATAGGATACAGGAAATGAGGACAGAGCTACAAGCAGGGAGTGAGAAGACACTGCCTGTTCCACTGGGCAGGCTGTCCTGGTGTGTGGAAGACGGAGCTAAAGCACCCAGCAGAGATGCACCGAGGCACAGGATAAAGGGAATTTCAAATCAACATTAACAGCAGCAGCAACTTCCAACTTTTACTCCTTTATCTAGTTTGCACATGTGCCATTCTTCAGGAGAGCCTCTTCTACAGAAGCTCACAAAATCTTAATGCCTTTGAACTTGTGTGTCATGCCCTATTTACCAATTACTAATTATTTACAGAGTCATGTGATAGGCTAACAAGACTTTGATGACTTTGTGTCACCTAGCCACATACAACAAGAAAATCCTACACACACTAAATTTTTCTCCTAAAACACTCAAGAAAGTTTAATTTAGGATTGTTTAATGTCTCATAGAAAAAAAAGATGCTAATCCATTGAACTTGTTTACCATAAATGGAGCCTTCTCTTATAGACAGTTATCAAGGCTGGAGTTGAAGCCATCATATTAGCACCAGATTTGGCAGAAGATACCTGTGACGTTCAACACTTGCTTCATTAGTGACCACTCCATGCCACCTGCTGCAATAGTAAGATGCTCAATGTGTGCAAAACCCCATCTCCTGCGTCTAACTCACCTGTACTCTCAGTCCTGCCAACCTTGTAAGCATCTCAATTTTGAGATTTCTTTCACATCTCACATCGTCCAGAAGAATTTTTTTTCTACCTACATTAGAGTAGTAGAAGATTCTTTTTTTTTGTTTTTGTTTTTTCTGAGACAGAGTCTCATTCTGTCCTCCAGGCTAGAGTACAACGTCATGATCTTGGCTCACTGAAACCCTCTTCTCCCAGGTTCAAGCAATTCTCCTGCCTCAGCTTGCTGAATAGCTGGGATTATGGGCATGCACCACCGTACCTGGCTAAATTTTGTATTTTTAGTAGAGACAGGGTTTTGCCATGTTGGCCAGCCTGGTCCGAATTCCTGATCTCAGGTGATCCACCTGCCTCAGCCTCCCAAGCTGCTGGGATTATAGGTGTGAGCCACTGCACCTGGCCTGGTAGAAGATTTGGGATACTTTGAAGGGAGAACTGATATTATTATTCACAATCCACATCAAATTCAGCAAAACCTAACATGGCATAAACTCTATGACTCACAGTTTGGGGAGCCACAATGGTTACAAAATAAGAGTCTGATGGGCTCTTACCCGGAGCCCTTATCTGCTACCCTGTGGGCTGTTCTTGCAGATTCATATACATTAAATGAAAAATTCTTTTGTCAGACTTGCTGCAGAATAGAAGCTAGTAGGGCTAAATACTACTGCATCAAGGATACCCTGGGGGCCTGGCAGCCTCATCTCTTCTGGACAGCAGTCACATGCACTGCAGTGGGCTGTCCTCAGCTTGGGGTGGTGGACCTGGACCAGACAGAAGGAATTCTTTCCACTCCATTAAAGCAGAGCTCCTCAACAAGTTTTCTGCCTCATGGCTAAAACAGAGAGACTGGGGAGGGATAAAAAAGGGCAAGATAAACCGAGATTTCAAACTTCACTGGTTTCCTGCTGCTACTGACAACTCTTGTAAAACTCCACTTCAGGTGTGTGAATTACATATTAATAAAGCAGTTTTGAACATCTGTACCTTAGGTATCTTTCCCAAATATTTCTCCTCTTACATTTTGTCAACAAATTGGTATTCACTTACAACTGAATCTAACACTATGAAGCCTGGAAATGTGAGGTTTGCCCACATGCTGTCTGATATAGAAAGGACTGCAAAAGAGCCACGTAACAAAACGTCGAGGTGGCTGAGGTGTCGGGCACCTCAGGCTCTGCCAGGATCTCGAGGCAGTTCCTCTCAATTTCAAGGACCGCATCCCAGCTCCAAGGCTCCCCATTGGATGGTCCAGGCCTCTGTTGCAGGTACACCATTATGATCTCCTCTGCTGTCCCTTGGGGAAGCTGGCCTCACCCAGTGCTCCAGCCAGGCAGACCAGCATGGGCTCCTGACACACGCTCTACTCTCCTGGCGTGGTCCCCCTCTAGTGGGTATAGGGCCTACAAGGATGGGTGGGAACCAGAAGACATTCCTTCAATCTACCACTAGCTCTTAGCAAGGTAGGAGCTGGACTCACAATGCCTAAGCAGCAGAAGTATTTCACGTGCATTGCCCTGTGAATGCAAGTAATTTAAATGCAGTGACAATTATTATGTATGAGGGAAGGAATTTCCTATGAAGATCCTTCCCCTCAGCCCTTCCTGGTAAGGAAACATTTTTCAAGCCTTAGCAAAACCATATCCTAAAGTTTTAACATTCCAGCTATGAGGTTTGGCTAAAAAAGCAGAAATGAAGTGCTCTGGCCCTGTCGTGTCTTCGTGGCCTTCTGTCTGTCTGTGTCTGCCTGTCTCTCAGGCTTCCTCAGGTAACTTTCACTTCAGTCGTAGCTCATGCTTGTAATCCTAGTGCTTTGGGGAGGCGGAGGCAGGATTGCTTGAGGTCAGGAGTTCAAGACCAGCCTGGGCAAGACCCCCCCCCCCGCAATCTCTGTAAAAAGTAAGAAAATTAGCTGGGCATGGTGGTGGGTGCCTGTAGTTCTAGTTTCTCAGGAGACTGAGGCAGGAGAAACACTTGAACCTGGGAGGCAGAGGCTGAAGTGAGCTGAGATCATGCCACTGTACTCCAGCCTAGGGGACAGAGCAAGAGAGCCTGTCTCAAAAGAAGGGAGGGAGGGAGAGAGGGAGGGAGGGAGGGAGGAAGGAAGGAAGGAAGGAAGGAAGGAGGGAAGGAGGGAAGGAGGGGATGAGGCGGAGAAGAGGAAGAGTTGGCTGGGAGAGAAGGCTGCCTCATCTCTGGCAAGATCCTAAGCTTCCTTGGAGGATTGCATGTGGGCTGGTCTTCAAAAAACCCCCAACCCAAATCCCTAGATTTTTTGACCAGGACATAGGAGCAGAGGAGCTGGGATTTCCAGAGTGTTTCAACCCCACCCCCACGGAAAGGCGCCTGGAAGAATGAAGCCCCTCTGGGCCCAGAGCTCCTCTAGAGGCCCCACTGCTGTGTGCCCCTCCCATGTCCAGCGATGTTGGGCAGGCGGGTCCCCATGACCCTGTCCTCACTGGACAAGGCAGGGCGGGGCCGACAACCTTGGCTGGTGGGGCAGAGCACCATAAGCTTGTCCACGCAGTAACCTCGTCCACGTGGGGTGGGGGCCACAGCGACCTCGTGCACATGCGCGGGGTGGGGGCCTTGGCGACTTTTTCCACAACCTTGTCCACATGAGACAGGGGTCCTAGAGACCTTGTGCATGCAGGGCGGGGGTCCTAGTAACCTTGTCCACTACCTTGTCCACACGGGGTTGGAGCCCTGGCAATCTTGTTCACGGAGAACTGGGGCCCCTCCTCAACACTGTCCACGCAAGGCATGGCCCTGACGACCTTGGGCAGATGCAGCACGCGCTGCATGCGAGCCAACTGTGGCTGGAAAACAAGTGGAGGACCAATGGAAGAAGTGGCCTTTGGAGTTTAAATGTCTGCGTGCAAGAAGAAAATGAGTTGTCACCTCGAATGGATGCAGCAGCAGCTCTAGCCCCTGCAGCGACCTCCTCCGGTAGCTGGTGGTGCTGCACCTTGGTACACCAGAAACGTGCACAGAGGACACCTGCTCCTCGCACACAGGCATAAACATACAACTTTTTAAAAGTAACTTATGGGAAATGAATGAAGAAGAAATTTGGCATAATGTTTTGTTTTTGTTTTATATATTTTTAAGGGCTATGGTAATCTCCTTATTGTTCCAGTTTTAGTATACGTGTTGCGCCACAGAAGTGAGCAGGTTTTTTTTGACAGGGTCTTGCTTTGTCGCCCAGGCTGGAGTGCAGTGGCTCAATCACGGATCACTGCAGTCTGGCCCTGCTGGGCTTCAGCAATCCTCTCATTTCAGCCTCCTGTAGGTGGGAGCCAGAATGCTTGGCTGATTTTTTTTAAAAAGTTTTTTGTAGAGATGGGTTCTCACTGTTACCCAGGCTGGTCTCCAACTCCAGAGCTCAAGCCATCCTCCCGCCTCAGCCTCCTAAAATGCTAAGATTACAGGCATGAGCCAGGACACCTGGCCTTCAGCCTGGACAATGTGAGGAAACCCCATCTCTACTAAAAATACAAAAAAAATTTTAAAAATTAGCTGGGCGTGGCAGCATACACCAATACAGCCCTGGCTACTTGGGAGGCTCAGGCAGGAGAATCGCTTGAACCTAGGAGGTAGAGGTTGCAGTGAGCTGAGATCATGCCACTGCACTACAGCACTGGCAACAGGGCAAGTCTCCATCTCAAACAAACAAACAAACAAACAAAAAAAGAAACATTGATAAAGAGCACTTTATAACTACTGTTCGCACCAAAATAAAATCAATAATTAGAAAGATAAGTGAGCTAGTGAAACTATTCTCGGTCATGTATAAACCAAAAATATTCAGGGGTGATATTTATTAGTATCAAAAGTTATTACATTTTTTGTACCCTGATTTAATAATTTTATTTCTTGAAATTTATCCTCAGGATGAAATAATTCATTTTTGAAAAACTGATTTCCATAATGATTATCTGTCAGATTTAGGTATATCAGCCCCTCAAATAGGAAAGTGTGGGATGGGAGTTAGAGGTCACATGGCCATTACTAAACAACAATTTTAATTAATATAGTCCCTAGAATATACTTACCACAGCCAGAAATAATACCTTTTACAACTACAACTCAAACAAATCTACCACTGCTCTAGATGCTAAGTATGTAGCAGTAACAAAATAGGCAACTTTCAGTAGTGTTAACATGTAAAAATGCTGATTGTATAGAATGTTGTGTCTTTTAGTAACTAGGTATACAAATCAGTTACGGCTATGAACAACGGATTGATTAGAACATGGCAAAAATTAAAGTATGACTTAACTTTATGTTGAAAGAGCAATGGTTTCTAAAGAGAACATGACAATAAGATGCTTACATGTATATCAAACTCCATAACAAAACTACCTATACTATCTAGCTGCATAATTGTGGACAGATCACAAAAATTCTCCAGATCCCAATTGTGCCCAATAAAATGGCAAGATAAGAATATATGAGCTAATCCCAAAGTTCCTTTTAACTGTAAAATTCCAGCATTTTGAAGGATGTTTGCTAAAAAAAGACTTGACCTTTGTCACAATTGAAATAGGTGAACAGAGGTAAAGCACATTCCACAGAAACTTAATATACCACAAATTCCCTGTGTATACACACACACACACACACACACACACACACACACTGAATAGTTTCAGGGGTCCTGGATCCTCTATTTCTATTCATGTGTCCCTAACAGTGCTACCAAACAATTGGCACTAATAGTTTCTCCCATCCCTGTATATACAGGGAGCAGCTCTCAATACGAAGTGAAATCTACTTCCCTTCCCCTTGAATATTGGCTGGCCCATGATTTGCTCTATCAGTGGAATGAAGCAGAAATGCTGCTGTGCCAGTTCTGAGCCTTGCCCTCAAGAAACCTGCTGCTTCCATTTTTACTCCTCAGATCCCACCATGGCTGGAGACAGATTCAGTCAACTGTGCCACAGTTTCAACCCATGAGTGAGGCCCTCTTGGGTGTTCGGCCCCAGCTGAATTCCCAGTGGGATGAGCTACATGGAAACCCAGGAGACACCACACAGAGCAGAACTGCCCAGCTAAGCATAGCCAAGCCCACAGAGCCATAGGAAATAATAAGCCATTATTTTTAAGTCACTAAAATTCTGGGATGGTTGGTTACACAACAGTAGATAATTGACTCTACTTTGTTCTCTGCTGTGTATAATCTGGACAAATAGACCCATAATTAATTATCTTTTTAAAAATTAATTACCTCTTTTTCTGAGACAGGGTCTCACTCCTGTTGCCCAGGCTGGAGTGCAGTGGTGTGAAAACAGCTTACTGTAGCCTTGACTTCCCAAGCTCAGGTGATTCTCCCACTTCAATCTCCACAGTAGCTGGGACTACAGGCAGGCACCACCATACCCAGCTAATTTTTTGTTATTTTTTTAGTAGAGCTGGGGTTTCATCACATTGCCAAGGATGGTCTGGAACTCCTGAGCTCAAGCAATTTGCCTGCCTTAGCCTCCCAAAGTGCTGGGATTACAGGAGTCAGCCATGGTGCCTAGCTTTTTAAAATTTGTGATTTATTTTTTAGAGACAGGGTCTTGCTCTGTCACCCAGGCTGAAGTACAGTGGTGGAATCAAAGCTCTCTCCAGCCTCTAACTCCTGGGCTCAAACTTCCCACCTTGGCCTCCCAAGAAGCTATGATTACAGGTGCAGGCAACCATACCCAGCTAACTTTATTTTTTAATTTCTTTTTTATTTTTAGATACAGCATCTCACTATATTGTCCAGGGTAGTCTCAAACTCCTGGCCTCAAGCAATCCTCCCTACCTCAGCCTCCCAAAGTACTGGTATTACAAGCATGAGCCACTGCACCTGGTCTGTAATCCCATAAACATTTATGATATTAGCAGCAATTGAGTCTATTTGGTCAAAATTCTTTAAGAATTTAAATTTTGAATGGTTTGGTCTCCTCAGCTTTTGACCAAATAGATTCAATTGCTGCTAATATCATAAAGTTTTCTGAAAAGTTAAATTTTCTGGCCAGGTGCGGTGGCTTAGGCCTGTAATCCCAGCAGTTTGGGAGGCCAAGCCGGGTGGATCACGAGGTTAGGAGTTTGAGACCAGCCTGGCCAATATAGTGAAACCCTGTCACTACTAAAAATATAAAAATTAGCCAGGCATGGTGGTACATGCCCATAGTCCCAGCTACTTGGGAGGCTGAGGCAGGTGAATTGCTTGAACCTGGGAGGCAGAAGTTGTGGTGAGCCGAGATTATATCATTGCACTCCAGCCTGGGCAACAGAGCAAGACTCCCTCCATCTCAAAAAAAGAAGTTAAATTTTCAAATAGGTAAGATGACAATTATTAACACAAAGATTTAACAACAGGCTTAGAAATAATATTTCTCCAAAAAATGAGATTACTGTCCCATTATTGATTGCTGGTGTGATCAGTGAACTTTGAGATCCTAAATAAATATATATTTTTAAATTTATTATTATTTTTGAGAGGGGTCTTGCTCAGAGTTCAGGCTGGAGTGCAGTAGAGCAATCTCTGGTCACTGCAAACCCTCCCCAGACCCAAATGATCCTCCTACCTCAGCCTCCCAAGTAGCTGGGACTACAGGCATACCAACACACCAACCTAATTTTTGTCTTTTTCTTTTTTCTTCAAAGACAGAATCTTGCTCTGTCACCCAGGCTGGAGTGCAGTGATGCAACCTTGGCTCAATGCAACCTCCACCTCCTGGGTTCAAGCAATCCTCCTGCCTCGGCCTCTCAAGTAGCTGGGATTACAGGTGCACGTCACCACATCCAGCTAATTTTTATCTTTTTGGTAGAGACACGGTTTCACCATGTTACCCACACTGGTCTCAAACTCCTGGGCTCAAGCAATCTGTGTACCTCGGCCTCCCAAAGTGCTGGGATTATGGACGTGAGCCACTGTGCCTGGCCAGGAGTGTCTTTTTAAATAATCTTACATCTTTTAAGGCCCCAAAGTAAATATTTGGTTGGGTTAATATTTTACTATAAAATTACTTTTACTAATGGTTAATGTTTAAATGCTTTTGTTCTTAAAGTGTGCTAAACTCTTTCTTATGGCTACTATTACTAGGTCAAATCTCTCTGTGAGAAAAACATACTCAAATTTTAAAAAAATAAAATACATACAAAGAAACTTAAAAAATGAATATAACATACAGAAGAATATAACATTCAAGAGCACCTAAAAATGCTTCTGTAATGGTGGCCAGGCATGGTGGCTCACGCCTGTAATCCCAGCACTTTGAAAGGAGGCCAAGGCCGATGTATCACCTGAGGTCAGGAGTTTGAGACCAGCTTGACCAATGTGGTGAAACCCTGTCTCTTCTAAAAATACAAAATTAGCCAGGCGTGGTGGGGCATGCCTGTAATTTCAACTACGTGGGAGGGTGAAGCAGGAGAATCACTTGAACCTGGGAGGCAGAGGTTGCAGTGAGCCGAGATCGTGCCATTGCATTCTAGCCTGGGCAACGAGTGAAACTCTGTCTCAAAAAAAAAGCTTCTGTAATGGAGGGGAGAATCAACCTTTAACACTATACATCCTGTTCAGTCCTAGTGTTTTCTAAAGCAGCATTACTGGGCACCAACCAGCACACGTGTGTGTCGGCATGAACCTGTGTGTGCACACAGCATGCTGTTCTGAGCGCAGGAAACCAGCACCGCAGTGGGTTTCCTGGCCCCCTGCTTCCAACCCGGCAGGCACGCATCTACTTTGGCAGGAAGCGCTTTGCGTCCATGGGGCTATCCAACAGTATCTGGATCTAAGCGGGTCTGAGAGCCAAGCCCAATGTGAGATTACACAAGAGCTTCACGAGGAAGGATTTTCTCTGTCTCCTTCCAAAACCTATGCCCACCCAGACATTCCTGTTTTTAAGGAGGACAGCAGGTACACTAAAATTTGGTTTGTACAAGTCACCAGGAAAATAAGTAATTACGCAAAATTCATAGCTGGAGTCATCGTGTGCCAGGCCATGAGCATGACACCAAGGGACAGAGACCAGCTCCAGCGTTATGAATGCTTGGGAAAAGCAGCATAGCCAGGAAGTTCTCAGCGGACAGCACTGGAATGGGGTACTCCATGGGAAGGACCACGTTGGTCCCACAGAAGATGCAATTCTAGGAAAATTCTGGGAATCATCAGTCAAGAGGGCTTGGTGTCACAAGTGGGCAGAGGCCAATGTTTTCCCAACACAAAAGGCAACCAAACACTAAGTTAGAGAGATACCCACTTTAAAATGTGGTCAGATGGAGGGCAGGGCTGGCGCTGGGGCTGGTGTAGGACTCAAAAGGAGGCCCAACAAACTGTATGGTGGGCAGAAAAGACTGCACAGAGAAAATGGAGAATGAAAATCATTAGACCTGGACAGAGTGTGGTGTAAGCCAGAGGGATGCTGGGGCCCAGAGCTGGCCTCTGGCCCTCCTGCTGGGCAGGGCTCATGCTGGTCAGGGCTGCACTGACCCAGGTAGAAATGGGGCTTTCTCTGCCTTCCAAGGTAGGTTCAGGTCCAGGGTCAAGAAAGGGCTTGCCAAGTTCATGTGCAAGCTTCACTCTGAACTTTCAGTGTTTTTTCTGACAAAAAGAGTGGTAAACTATGGGTTAAGACAAAGCCCTGTCTGCTGGACCTCTAGCAGCAGAATTAAGGAAGGAATTAATTGGGGGTTTAATTCACACTCTTGCTGGGAACACTACCTTAGTAGGAAAAAGGTCTTCATAAAGGAAAGGAAAATCTGTAATCCCAGAACTTTGGGAGGCCAAGGCAGGAGGATCACTTGAGGCCAGGAGTTGGAGGTTGCAGTGAGCTATGATTGTGCCACTGCACTCCAGCCTGGGTGACAGAGTGAGATCCCTATGCTATTACAAAAAAACAACAACAAAAAAAACAAGGGATTCAGTTTCTGCCTCAGCTTACGACGTGTGAGGGAGAAAAATCATAGCAGGCAAGGTGGTAGGCCAGGGCCCAAGAGAGGCTGGGACAGCTGTCATTAGTGAGCAGAGAAAGACCAGGCCCATGACACACATGCAGCTCTCACAGGTGGCCTCCCCTCAGCCCTAGTTTCCAGCACCCAAAGTGCACATCCCTGAAAAAAAGCAAGTGGACAGACAGCTTGGCTCTACGGAGACTTGTTGTGCCACCTAAGTTACGTACTATGATGAGACTGAGTTTATAACGGACTGACTTGTGCCATAACTGAGCATTAAAAGTTAGCCAAAAAATAAGCCAGAGTCCTCAGAGCTGAAGCATGAACAGCTTAAATATGACTCTGGAAGAGCAGACTTCTGTTTGGGCTCCAAGCCACTCCTGGCCCCTACAGTTAAGTAGGCTAAATATGTGTGAAGATGCTGCTCTTCACTTCCAGACAAAGGCTGCCTGGAAACTTCTGCTGTTGTCTCCATCAAAAAGAACCACTCACTCGACAACAGCACATAGGCCTGCCTCACCACATACACCTGTCTCCGACTGTGGGGCTTTAGGAGAGTACCTGTGTGTGTTTGTGACTTTTTAAGAGAGTAGCTGTACATGTTTGGGACTCTGGGGCTCTCCATGCCTCCCATGGCTTGCACTGCTGGGGACCAGCAGCCCGTGAGTACCCAGGGAAGCGGGGACATTTGGATGCAGACTGAACAGAGCTTGCTTCCCTGTGGTTATTTGTAAAATGCTGTCAAGTAGGTTGGAAGATCTGGCAAATTATAGCTTCACCAAAAAAGAAAGATAGTAATCTGCTACTTTCACAAAGTGTCCTCAAAAGAGTCACTGACAAGGTGATTTGGTAAAGTACGCAAATATTTTAGTTATGAAGTGTGGTAGCAAAAACTGAAATCCCCTGGCTATGCAGTTTTTATGTATTTTTCTGAAAAAGTTACAGTATGACTTTGAAATAGATACATATTATGGGTTTAATTTGAATTTTAGTTTATTTATTTATTTATTTTTGAAACAGAATGTCGCTCCGACCTTGGCTCACTGCAACTTCTGCCTCCCGGGTTCAAGCAATTCTCCTGCCTCAGCCTCCCGACTGGCTGGGACTACAGGCGCGTGCCACAACACCCAGCTAATTTTTGTATTTTTAGTAGAGACGGGGTTTCACCATGTTGGCCAGGATGGTCTTGATCTCTTGACCTCGTGATCTGCCCACCTTGGCCTCCCAAAATGCTGGGATTACAGGCATAAGCCACCACACCTGGCCTATGGGTTTCATTTTTAAGTCATATTTACAAAGGCTCAGAATCTCTGTAACAAGTTTCCATTTTCCAACAATGCTTTAAAATTCAACCATTTTGTTTAAAACTTGGCGGTTACCATATCAGTTAGAATTTATTTTGTTATTTATGTTTTTGACAGTGGAATGTCAGGACAGGCATCATCCATACTGATGATAAAGTAGCAGGCTTTTTCTTTCTAAAAGCTAAAAATTGTGTCTACAGATGACAGCCTGTTTTCCAGGAACTGAGGCTGAGCCAATAATCAGGTTTCTTCCAGTCAAAGCCAAGGGTAAGAAAAGGGATAGTTGTAGGTAATATGCTTTTTTTTTTTTTTGAGACAGAGTCTTGCTCTGTTGCTCCAGGCTGGAGTGCAGTGGCGCAATCTCGGCTCACTAGAGCCTCCACCCCCTGGGTTCAAGTGATCCTCCTGCCTCAGCCTCCTGAGTAGCTGGGATTACAGGCATGCATTATCACACCAACTAATTTTTGTATTTTTAGTAGAGACAGTTTTGCCATGTTGCCCAGACTGGTCTCGAACTCCTGACCTCAAGTGATCCACCAGCCTCGGCCTCCCAAAGTGTTGGGATTCAGGTGTAAGCCACTGTGCCCAGCCCTGACTTCTGTTTTAAAAGGCCCACTCTTGCTCCACCATGTGAAGCCAGGTGTAAGCGGAGAAGTGGGTGAGAAGCTGACAGGCCAGTGGGATACCACAGAGGTGCGGTGGTGCTGGAGGTTGCATCGCCAGCTACCGTGGGACAGACACTAGGGCGCTGCATCCACAGATGGGTGGCTCACCAAGGACTCCTGCTGGGGTTCTCAGGAGGTGTCCCCTGCTCTCACAGGACCTCTTTGGCCCCTGCCGCTACAGACTACAGCCTGAGGGGGGTCTCCTCAGTGGGTAGGGGTGGCCCGCTGGGGGTGTTGGTAGAATGACTTCACACTGAGACAGAAACAGCCAGGAACCATGCATGTGGTCCCTTCTTCTCATAATAACTCTAAATGTAGGTATTTATGTTTCACCAAACCAGGAAACTGGGGCTCAGAGACGTAATCATTTCCCAAGTTCATACAGGCAGTGGTAAAGTCTGCATTCAAAACTTAAATAGTCACAAGAAGTCCAATATCATTAGCAATCACAGAACTTCATTTTACAAAACAAGGGAGCATTTCACACCCATTAGATTGACAAATACTTTAAATGTCTGACACTAGCACATGTTGGCAAAGTTAGAGAGAGATTGTATTTTGATAAACTGAGAAAAGATATGTAAATTGGTACAATCACATAGGAGAATACTTTGAACATATCTAGTAAAGTAAAAGATGCTGAAATCCTACAACCAGGATTCCACTTCCACCCTCTAGGTAAGTTCCCCACCTATGCCAGAGGAGACAGGAAGAATACTCAATGCCCTTCTGTCTGTAGTGGAAAACTAGAAACTATCTAAATACCGATCACCAGGAAAGTGGATAGATAAGCAGTGGTATAATTACACAGCACAACACAGTTCAGCAATTAAGACAAATCAGAGCCTCATCTATCAACATGAATAAATCACAAAAACATAATGAATTTTAAAAAGCACATTGCAAAATCACGTTGTATAGAGTTCTAACAGTAAAACAAAGGCCAGGGTTGTTTGTCCCATAGCTTTCGCTATTTCTTCACAGTCCTGCCCCCTTGTCCTGCCAGCTTTTTGGGCCAGAAACTGAGCTCACATTCACTGTGTCTGGTAAGTAAAAACTGCTCAGTCACACGTGGTCAGTGATGAATGAATGAATGAACCAACAGGCGAACGAATAAATGAAGAAACAAATGTGCAAGTCACAGCTCATTCGTGCCTTGGCTCCCCCACCACGTGGTCAGCTCTTAGAAGGCAGGAGCAAACATGCTGCTATCTGATGCCTTGGAGCCCTCTGCAAAGTGCTGAACAAGCATCTCTCCCTGACACCTTCTCTCCTCCCCTCTCCTCTCCTCTCAGAAGCTCTGCAGAAACTGTTCCTGCAAATTGATTCCAATTTGCTGCTGGATCATTAGTCTCAGACGATTCCTACTCCTGGGGCCAGCAAGTCAAGTCTGGGAATTTATACTTATCCTAAGGGCAAGCTAAAACAATTAACAGACTGTTAAGTAAAAACACAACAACAGCCAGGCACAGTGGCTCACACCTGTAATCCCAGCACTTTGAGAGGCTGAGGCGGGCAGATCACAAGGTCAAAAGATCAAGACCGTCCTGGTTAACATAGTGAAACACTGTCCCTACTAAAAATACAAAAATTAGCTGGGTGTGATGGCACACACCTGTAGTCCCAACTACTTGGGAGGCTGAGACAGGAAAATTGCTTGAACCCAGGAGCTGAAGGTTGCAGTGAGCTGAGATCGCTCCACTGCACTCCAACCTGGTGACAGGGTGAAACTCTGCCTCAAAAAAAAATGTAGGTAACAAACACATATATGTGGAACTTCCAGGTATATGTGGTATATTAGCCACACCAAATCACTCTTATTATTCTTAATTTTTCATCATAACTATGCCACAATCACAGTATAAAAAGGAATTTCAATACCTCTTAAAGTACAGAAACTAGATGGAGGAACAGCTGCTACCTCCACACAGCAGAGGACAATACAGTAAATGCATACTGTGAGCCCACAGTGCTGTGAGGATGAGGTGTAGGTGGAAAAAGGAGCCTCCCTGGAGGTCTATATGAGATCACCTGGGTTCTTAGGTATCCCCAGGCCCCCAACCCAACACCAAATCAGACTACAGTGCAGTGAGGGCAGATAGCACAGAAATAACACAGAAGGGCAGGACGCAGTGGCTCACACCTGTTATCCCAGCACTTAGGGAGGCCAAGGCAGGGGGATTGCCTGAGGTCAGGAGTTCAATATCCGCTTGGCCAACATGGTGAAACCTCGTCTGAACTGGGTGTGGTGGGGTGCGCCTGTAATCCCAGCTACTCAGGAGGCTGAGGCACCAGAATTGCTTGAATCTGGGAGGCAGAGGTCGCAGTGAGCCAAGATCACACCACTGCACTCCAGCGTGACAGAGCCAGACTGTCTTAAAAAGAAAAAAATCCACAAAGGAATAACACAGAGGGTTAAGTGAGCATGGATGTACTAAATCAACCACAGGTTTCAACCCTCCTTCCCTGCCAACAGCCACATACCCTGCGGATCTGAAGATCTCCTCTGGCAAAAACGGAAGGGCCCCAGGGACAAGTTTCCAGACCCAGACACTGGTGGGTGCTCAGTGAAGCCTGCAGCCTCCACCTGGTCACCCTACAGGAAAGCCCCGGCTCTACAGGCCCTATGCTATAGTTCTTCCAGTCAGCTTTCAGTACATCATTCCCAAACATATACAGCCAAGACTGCTGAATATTCAAGAAAGTATCCAAACAAAGCCAGAACAAACAAACAAACAAATCAAACAGTACATTTAACATGACTGTGTTTTCATTAAATTACAGCATTAAAAAAACCACTGTCAAAAGACATTGTGAACTCTGGAAGAGCTAATCCCTCAAGACCCGCAACTAACTGGGCCTTAACTCAGATTAGAACCAAGTGGCCATTTGCTGACTAGAAGTCACACACGTATTTTGAATTCCTGAAAAACCCACACCTCTGCTTAACTTTGCCAGTTTCATAGCTGCCGGTTCCTGTTTACCCTGCCTGAAGCAATCAATAAGCTGTGACTTACATTGACCAATCAGAGCTCAGCAAACATCAGCCAATCGGAACTAAGCAAGTTTGACTCCTTCATTTGCATTCGTGAACCTGAGTGAGAACCTGGACAGAAACTATAAAACACAAACTCTCCTTAGATTCTCTGGAATGCACCTTCAGTTTCCACTGAAGACTGCATCTCCCTGGTTTGCAAACTGCTCACTGGAGTAAAGTCTCTTTACTCTAAATTCCTTTCCAGAAAACTTTTGTTCATATATATATATATCAACATGGTAATGGTAGCTACCTCACAGTGATGGTGACATGATTTTTGTAGAAATACATGCCAATTAACCATCAAATTATCTTATATCAGGACCATGGCCCTTCCTACCTCTTCTTATCTCTTTCTTGGCTGCTATTCTGAAATATCTGCTTTTCCTCACTTGTCCTGTATCAAAGACTGAAACTGGCTTCTAAAGAAGGTGAGTATGTATCAAGAAAGTTGGGATCCATAGGTCCTCTCTGCCCCATCCACGAGCCTTAGATATCCATGAAATCTGGACTCTGATACTTTGCTGCAAATGATCTAGATGTGTATTTCTCATGCCAGGAAACTTGTATTTTTAAACTGGTCACTGTATCCACAAGTGGCAGAGAGCTAGTAAACTAAAAAGCAGAAAATATACTTTATAGCTTCTCAGGTCCAACAGCAGATTCTTTGAGAAAATGGTAATTTTGCATGGCTGCGTGACACCATGTGATGGATGACTGAACAGTGTTCTCATTACATGCTATTGGTGGAGACTTTGCCTTGGCCTAGGAATTTAAAAAATCTATTCTGCTTCTTTCCTGACTCTGGAAAATATGGGGGAAACACCAGCTGGCTGTTGTAGACGTAACAGAGTTAAAAAAATGACAGAATGTATTAATACAGTCATGTATTCCTTAAATATGGGGATATGTTTTGAGAAATTCGTCATTAGGTGATTTTGTTGTTGTGTGAACATCATCGAGTGTACTTACACAAACCCAGAGGCTACAGCCTACTCCACACTACTAGTAGGCTAGATGGTATAGCATATTGTTCCTGGCTACAAACCTGTCCATAAGTCCTCATTTAACATCGTCATTATGTTCTTAGAAACCTGCAACTTTAAGCAAAATGATGTCTGACAAAACCAATTTTACCGTACAGAGGGAGAATGTGCAAACTCCACACAGTGGCCCTGGCCAGGAATCAATTTTTCTTTTTTGAGACAGAGTTTCGCTCTTGTTACCCAGACTGGAGTGCAATGGCGCGATCTCGGCCCACCGCAACCTCCGCCTTCTGGGTTCAAGCAATTCTCCTGCCTCAGCCTCCTGAGTAGCTGGGACTACAGGCGTGCACCACCATGCCCAGCTAATTTTTGTATTTTTAGTAGAGATGGGGTTTCACCTTGTTGACCAGGATCGTCTCGATCTCTTGACCTCATGATCCACCCTCCTCGGCCTCCCAAAGTGCTGGGATTATAGGTGTGAGCCACTGCGCCCGTCCAGGAATCAATTTTTTTTCTCGTCAATGTTATAACAAAATGATCTTAAAATGAAACCATATTATTCAAACACTTGCTGCAAGGCCTGAGACTGTACTGAATATTGTAGGCAACTGTAACAGAATAGTGTTTCTGTATCTAAATATCTGTAAACGTAGAAAAGATAAAGTAAAAATACCATATATAAAAGGTTTTTTAAAATGTATGTCTATATAAGACACTTAACATGAATGGAGTCTGTGGGACTCGAAGTTGTGGTGAGTCAGTGAGAGAGTGGTGAGGGAATGTCAAGGCCTAGGACATTACTGGATACTTTATAAGACTGGCAGCACCCAGCGCTGTAGGTTTGTTTACACCAACATCACCACACGTGCATGAGTATAAGCTGGGCTATTAAAGTCACTACCCAAAGTTACAAAGATAACATGGATGAAAGAAGGGAGGTTAGGAGGTGGGAAGAGAAAATGCTCCAAGTACTTGTATCTATTGCAAAGCAACTAGTTAAGGTACTGATAACATTTCCAAGTCAGTGACATCACAGTCTCTGCTGCAGTATTTCCTTCAGTCAGAACCGGTGCAGAGGAATACTAAGCAGGGTGAGGCTCTGTTCTAGGCACTGGGGACGCAGTGGTGACAGAGCAGAAGAACATCCCCGTGCTCACGGGCGTGCCACCCTGGTGCTGGGGTACGTCCTGTATGTGAAAGTTCTTGTGTGTTTGCCTGCTTGGGTGACTTGGACCCGTCCGCTGCGGTGACTGTGAAGCAGGCTGCCTCCTGGGTTACCAACAGCTGCTAACCAGAGTTACAGCCTTGCATGTTCCGCCCAATCGGACCTGACAGTTGTCCTGGCTCGGTGCCTGTTCTGGCTCGATGCCTAATAATAATCTCATTTCTTGAACTATGACTAATGTTCATGAAGGAATACTAATGATTATACATTATAAAAGTAAAAATTAGTGTTTACTGATTCCAAAGTCCATGGAAAAAGTCCAATTTTCTGTAGACAAGATCCAAACGGCCAGAAAAGGCAATGGTAAGGTTACTTGGAAGGCTGCACTCAGCAAGGTAGAAAGTCCTGGACTTTGTTTGAAGGGCTTGACAGAGTTCCATGTTATCTACATCCCTTTCCCATTTATGTTGGAATGTTCTCTTTATTTACTCTCTGAAATGTCCTTTTTCTTGTCCTCCCATTAAATTTGTACAGATTATTTAAAAATAAAATTAGGCTGGGCAGAGTGGCTCATGCCTGCAATCCCAGCACTTAAGGAGCCTGAGGCAGGAGGATCACTTGAGGCCTGGAGTTTGAGGCCATCCTGGGCAACACAGCAAGACCCCGTCTCTACAAACAAATTTAAAAAGGAATTAGCCAGGTGTGACCACACATGCCTGTGGTCCCAGCTACTCAAGAGGCTAAGATGGGAGGATTGCTTGAGCCCAGGAGGTTGAGGCTACAGTGGGCTACAATTGTACCACTGTACTCCACCTGGGGCAACAGAGCCAGACCCCCAACTCTAAAACAAAAGAAGAAGAAAGGGAGAGAAAAAGAGGGAAGGAAGGAAGTAATGGAAGGAGGGAGGAAGGGAGATTAGAATGCCAAAACATGTAGGAAAAACAGATGAAAGTACTCTTAAAAACAATAAGGAGAGGGTAATATGAGTCGGGGGAAGGGGAAAAGGTGCACAGGCCTCAAACTCCCAGGTCACCCCAGATGGAAGAAGGGGCTCTCCCAAACCCAAGGCCTTTCCTTCTTGTTCTCCCACAGATGACAGCAAACCAGGGGGGACGATTAGCAATGCAGCCACCCACTCACTCAGGCCAAACCACATCTCAGTACAGAGACACAGGAGCCAAAGACAGCCCTGACATTCAGGGTCAACAAACCAAAGGACCCACTCCTCACTGCCACTGTGGTTTGGCTTAGCTGATACTAAAGTATGAATAAAGCACAGCCTTGGCTAAGGAACTGCCATAAAGGAAGTATTTCTGAGTGAAATGTATATGCTAGATCGCACTTTTTAGAAAACTACACACCGGGAAGGTTTTTACGGCAATGCTGAGGATGGATGCCAGGAGGACTCGAGAAGGAACAATGCTGCCCATCCACACAGCAACTGAAACAAGCTCTGCTGATTTCACTGAAGTGGAAAAATCTGTTTATGCAGCCAGCACGGCTGCCATCACTTAAAGTCCAATGTGAGCAACAAAAATAAACATCATAGGGCCAAGGAAAAAAGAAATATGATACCTTTAAAAAAAAAAAGAATGTTTGTTGAGTGGTTTAAGTTTACAGATTCAACCAAATGAAAACTCCTTTCTCAAAATTCACAAATACCATGCAACATTCTTTTTCCAGCTGGGATGATTTAAACTATTCTAAGAGCTTGTCTGTTTTATGACAAGTTAGTTTTGAAAAGAGGCACTGACAGCGTGTTTGCTGGCAAGTTGATGAGCCTCAACTGTGAACTCCGGGAGGGCAGGCCAGGCCTAGTGTGCTCACCGCAGTATCCCTGGGGTCCAATACAGGGCCTGGCAACCCTGGCACTCACATATGGGCTGAGACAATGACTAACACTGATTCAGAATTCCTCCTGAGTGTCCCATGTACAATGTTCCAGGGAAACTGTATAACTCTCTTGGTCCAGTAATATTTAGATTCCTACTGAAATGAACTATCCTGCACTTGGCCATGAATGGTTAGATACACATTTCCTTACTCTTCTTCCATCATTAAGTCTTTTGTTCTGAAGGGTTCTGCCATCAGCCTCTGGCAGTGCAGATCCAGGTCACTGCAGGCATGAAGGGACAGCCAGCAGGAAGGTGGCCAGGCTGGCAAGGGCTACCCCTGGTGTGAGTGGGTTATGGGCTGTTTTGTTGTGACTGTCGGCGCACACTCCAGATACAGGAAGGACCAGGAACCTAGTGGGGACTGGACATCATACTCACTTGTGGCACAATTTCTGTGGTGTATTCAAAGACATGTCCAATACATAGTTAAGAACAGCTATAATAATCCAATAAATAGTTAAGAACAGAATAATCATCCATACTGCACACACTGATTCACCACAAAACCCAAGGAAAACTTACTCATAAACTTGTCATAAGAAGATAAACAAAATAACTTGGCTTCACTAATGCCCAACTTTTAAGTTTCCTAGGTAGTTGTTTTAAATAGGATTTAGGGAATTGTCAAAAATTAATTTGATTTTTTTTCACAACCAGCAGTTTGCAAAAAGCTCCATTTACCTCTTTATATCAGTTCATCCTTTATTTTTAATTTATTTATTCATTTATTTTTGAGATGGAGTCTCACTCCGTTGCCCAGGCTGGAAGGCAATGGCACGATCTTGGATCACTGCAACCTCCACCTCCCAGGTTCAAACAATTCTCTCACCTTAGCCTCTAGAACAGCTGGGATTACAGGCACCTGTCACCATGCCTGGCTAATTTTTATGTTTTTGTAGAGAGGAGGTTTCACCATGTTGGCCAGGCTGGTCTTTAACTCCTGACATCAAGTGATCTGCCCACCTTGGCCTCTCAAAGTGCTGGGATTACAGGCGTGAAGCACCACGCCTGGCCTGTTTTTACTTTTTTGAGACGGACTCTCTGTCACCCAGGCTGTGATCTCAGATCATTGCAACCTCCGCCTCCCAGGTTCAAGCAATTCTCCCTCAGCCTCCTGAGTAGCTGGGATTATAAGCGCATACCACCATGCCTAATTTTTGTAATTTTAGTAGAGGCAGGGTTTCACCGTGTTGGCCAAGCTGGTCTCAAACTCCTGACCTCAAGTGATCTGTCTGCCTTGGCCTCCCAAAGTGCTGAGATTACAGGTATAAGCCACCATGCTTGGGCAGTTAATTCCTTTAAAAATGGCCAGAAAGCTCTTTAAGAGACCAGATATGAAATTTCTTATTCATCCCAGCCAACCCCCAGGAAACAGCAGCAATCTGCTGCAAATACTCAGGCACCTAAAGCAGCTCTGAGGTGACCCAGAGCAAAAACCAAGTGCTTCTCCAAGCCAAAATCAGGAGACTGATTTGTTAATTTCACATTGTGAAATTCGCCAGAAAACCTCTAACTTATAAAACTCCACAGAATACCTGAAACTAACTCTCTTTATCACCGGCAGAGTGCTTAACTACCTGTGTTGTTCCTGTTAAGTTCAGTTTCCTAAAGACAAGGAAAACCAACTTGCCTGATCTGTGGCCATCTGTTCTTAGATGTAAGAGGAATTATGGCACCAAATCACTTATGAGAAAAAACATTCGTAACATCTCCCACAGAGGAAAACATGGCAGAACTGGAAACAAATTCTTATTTGTTAGTGCTTCTCATCCAGATTTCTAAGGACTGGGAAGCATCCCAGTGGTTACAGGAGGTGACCAGCCATGAACAATGTGCCTGAAACTTGAAAGGCAGCTGACACAGTGAAATAAAATGGAGAATGGCCATCATCATCCACCTGTGCAGAAAAAGTTAGCATTCTATCTAGAGCTATGTTTTATTGATGTTTGGTAGGGTTTTTTTTTTTTTTTTTGTACTATGACTCAGAATTTCATAAAAACACTTCCCTTACATAGAGATGATTTGATCCTTTCTCTTTTAATTTTTGTAGAAATGGGGTCTTGCTATGTCACCCAAGCTGGTCTCAAAATCCTGGCCTCAAGTGATACATCAGCCTTAGCCTCCCAAGGTACAGGGATTACAGGCATGAGCCACCATGCCTGGCTAGTTCTTTACATTTTTACATGCAACCCATAAAACTAATTATTTGATCCACTCAAGGATCTCTCTCTGTAGTCTGAAAATGACTTCACTAAAGAATGCTTGGGTGTCATCAGCAACCAGCACCTTCCCTTCAAAAGATGACTCATTTCTTTCTCTTTCTTTTCTTTTCTTTTATGATGGAGTCTTGCTCTGTTGCCCAGGCTAGAGTGTAGTGGCGCCATCTTGGTTCACTGCAACCTCCATCTTCCAGGTTCAATAGATTCTCCTGCTTCAGCCTCCCAAGTAGCTGGAATTACAGGCGCCCACCACCACACCCAGTTAATTTTTATATTTTCAGTAGAGACGGGGTTTCACCATGTTGGCCAGACTGGTCCTGAACTCCTGACCTCAGGTGATCTGCCTGCCTCAGGCTCCCACAGCGCTGAGATTACAGGTGTGAACCAGTGCTCCCAGCCTGACTAGTTTCATCATACTAATAATATGAGATGGTCCCTTCAATTAAGTACCATGGTTTTCTTTATATCCTCTAAATTTAAAGCTACTATGTGGAAGTGGGAAATGTTAGGCCAATTTAGTTTCATTCTTCTGACTCAATGTCACTCGGCTTCAGTAACGCATAGGATCACTGGCTAGTTTTGATCCGAGACTTTTAGGTAGGATATATGTAAATTGACGGACAGGTCAAGAAGGTCTCTAAAACTTAAGGCATTTCTTCAGACAGGAGTAAAATTCTTAGAATTCACTTAGAAAATAAACATTTATTTAAAAAATACTCTATGGAAATAAGTGAAGGCAAGTTTCCTTCAGACTTGGAACAGACCACACTACCCTACACAAGGCATTCGTGACATGTGGCTGCTGGGCGAGGTATGCTGCAATACTGAGGGGCATGCTACTGTCCATCTGGCAAGATGAGGAGACAAGGCATTGACATGGAAAAACAAAATTCTGTCCTGGGGCAGATGAAAGTACTGCATGAGGCAGCTGGAGTTCAGAAGGGGAAGGGCTGGCTCCACTGGGGCCAGCTGGGCTTTGATAAAAGGACAAGCAGGAGCATCCTGGCAGACCATACCCTGCTTGCACAGCAGGGCCAGGAAGACTGTGGTCACTTCCCTGATGTCCTTCACCCAGGTGCCCAAGAGTGACATGCTGTTTCATACCAAGACTCTCAGAACCTTCTTTTCTCAGTCCCTCTTTTTTTTTTTTTGACATGGAGTCTTGCTTTGTCGCCCTAGCTAGAGAAGAGAGGAGTGGCTCAATCATGTCTCACTGCAGCCTCCACTTTCAGGTTCAAGGGATTCTTCTGTCTCAGCCTCCTAAGTAGCTGGGATTACAGGCACGCACTGCCATGCCTGGCTAATTTTTGTATTTTTAGTAGAGACGGGATTTCACCATGTTGGCCAGGCTGGTCTGAAACTCCTGATCTCAAATAATCTGCCTGCCTCGGCCTCCTAAAGTGCTGGGATTACAGGTGTGAGCCACCGCACCTGGACCCAAGTCCCTCTTTTTGGCTAATTTTCCTTTCTAGTCTTCTGCAGCCACCCTCTTATGCCCCTGTCCTGTAAGTAGCCCAGTAGCTCAGTGAGTGGGAACCAGAGGTCCTAAGTTTGAATACTAGACCAGCTTGCCTTCTCCCTCTGTGGTCTAAGGGCGTTCCCTAATCACTCTGTGACTCCATTTCCTCCTTTTAATCTAATTTTTAATACATCTTAAGCACTTAAGACAGTGTGCTTGGTACTTGGTGGGTACCCAGTAAATGTTAGCTTTATAGTCAGAACATACTGAAAGGTTTTAAAAAATAAATTGTACATATTAAATCACTTTGTATTCTCACTTGGAGTTATTATTATTATTATTTTGAGACAGAGTTTCACTCTTGTATCCCAGGCTGGAGTGCAGTGGTGCAATCTCAGCTCACTGTAACCTCTGCCTCCCGGGTTAAAGCGATTCTCCTGCCTCAGCCTCCCAAGTAGCTGGAACTACAGGCACGTGCCACCACTTCCAGCTAATTTTTTTTTTTTTTCAGTAGGGATGGGAGTTAACCATGTTAGCCAGGCTGCTCTCGAACTCCTGACCTCAGGTGATCTGCCTGCCTTGGCCTCCCAAAGTGCTGGGATTATAAGTGTGAGCCATCATGCCCAGCTGAATTTGTTATTATTTTTCTCTCTCAAAACAAACAAACAACAACAACAAAAAAGGCCAAGCACGGTGGCTCATGTCTATAATCCCAGCACTTTGGGAAGCCAAGGTAGGGAATCACCGGAGGTCAGGAGTTTCAGACCAGTCTGGCCAACATGGTGAAACCCTGTCTTTACTAAAAGTACAAAAATTAGCAGGCACGGTGGTGGGCGCCTGTAATCCTCGCTTCCTGGGAGGCTGAGGCAGGAGAATCGCTTTAACCCAGGAGGCGGAGGTTGCAGTGAGCTGAGATGGCACCACTGCACTTCAGCCTGGGCAATGGAGCGAGACTTCATCGCAAAAAGAGACAAAAAAAAAAACCTTAAACTCACTTGTCTTCACATTTACACACTTTTCTAGAGAACAAGGAGCACAGATTTTCATGCAAATGGCTTCCCACTTGACTAAAGTGGTTGAGGAAGAATTGTGGATGTACATCCTTTCCTTTCTAGGCAGGTCCTAAAAATCAGTCAGTTTACATAAAATATACTTGAACACACAACACCAATTCCTGCTGTGACACGGGGAAACCTGGCAAAAAGCTTCTACTTTTTGAAGTAGGCAAAAAGCCTACTTCATCAAAGCAAGGAGCTTCTGATGTGAGCAAGTCTAGCTCTTGACTACATCAGCCCAGTGAAGATCTGAAAGCATATGTCCTCTTTTAGAGCTTGCACGAACAATTCTTTATTATTCTATTATTTGCCATTAAAAGTAATGGCAAAAACCACAATTGCTTTTGCACTAAACTAATACAAACCAGAATGAAAGCCAAAGCCTCCCTGTACTGCCTCTAGGCACAGGGCAATTTACCCAGGAAGTACCCAAGGGAAGTTATGCCAGGAAGTAAACTTTTGTAACCAAAATAGCATTTTTAATTTACAAGATCTTACTTCTACTTACTAAGGAATGTTAAGGAAAAAAATCATCACTAATTCCTCTCAAGCGCAGCGTGATGGCCACAAATGTTGTCCTGCTTAAAAGGCAGGACTTCAGACTGCCTGCATGTACAGCTAGGCCAGGTCTGCCTCTCTCCATGTAGGGACACTGCCTGTCCAGGGGCAAAAAAGGTCGAAAATGACTTCTTCCCACTAGGAAGGCTCTGGGGACACCAGCTGACACTCACCCCACATGGCACAGGCAACCCTGTGATGCAAGCATGCTTCCCAAAGGCACCACCATCCCTGCTGTCATGTGGCACAGATGAGCTAACCCACCAGGTCACACTGCAGTGTAGCCATGCCAGACTGGACCAAAGACACAGTCTTAGCCTTCTGTTCGCTCCAAATTCATTTTATTATCTTTAAGCCACACATCAGTGGTTGGGAAGGTGTCCTTGAGTCTTCAAAAATTAAAAGGCATCTCCTGATATGCTGTCTGGGATTTATATTAAGAGTCTGAGAGGAAGGGAGGTGGGAGGGGTGTAGATGAAACAAGACAGGCCATGTGTGGGTCACTGTCGAAGCTGGTCAGTGGGTATTCAGGAATTCATTATTTCATTGTTTACTTGTGAATATGTTAAACATTTTCCATAATTAAAAGCTTTCTCGGCCAGGTGCAGTGGCTCATGCGTATATTCCCAGGACTTTGGGGGGCTAATGCAGGTGGATCACTTGAGGCCAGGAGTTCAAGACCAGCCCGGCCAACATGGTGAAATCCCGTTTCTACTAAAAATACAAAATTAGCCGAGTGTGGTGGTATGTGCCTGTAATCCCAATTACTCAGGAGGCACAGGCAGGAGAGTTGCTTGAACCCGGAAAGCAGAGGTTGCAGTGAACTGGGATTGTGCCACTGCACTCCAGCCTGGACAGCAGAGTGAGACTCCGTCTCAAAAAAAAAAAAAGCTTTCTAAAAGGGATTTCTGATACAGACATTTAAGTTTCTGGAGAAAACAAAACCCTTTGGCAAGTTCTTATTCCAGTGTGTTTAATTTTACATTGTTCCAACGTTCAGGTTTCTCATCAGCATTGCTCAAAGCTGCCCATGGTCAGCTGCTTAATTTTTGAAGAATTGAGGACACCGTCCCAACCACTGATGTATGGCTTAAAGATAATAAATAAAGTGAATCTGCAGAGAACAGCGAGGCTAAGAGCACGTCCTTGGTCCAATCTGCTGCGGACAGTGCTGCTCCTGGGGTCCACGCTGCAGTTATGCACTGTGGCCCTCACAGTGCCCCAGGGCACCTTTCACAGTGCCACAGAGACTAATTCTGCCTTCAAGCAGCAGATGGTGAAAGCTCCTTGGCCTTCTCAGCTATACAAACTGTTCTGACAGGGAAAAAACAAAAATCTGTACTTTGACTATGTTTCCACACTTTCCTCTTCAGAGAAGCTGATCTTTTCTGACTGAACTGAAAGCGTAGTGGGCCTGGGTAAAACAGATGAGATAGGAGAGAAGACTTTCCATGGGTTTTCAAACTTGTGGAGGAGCTCTGAAAAATACCAATGCCCAGAATCCACCCTGGACCAATTAAATCAGAACTTCTAAACAGAAGCGTTTGTATGTGTGCCTGTGTGTGCATGTATCTGTATGTGCATATGTGTGTGCATGTGTGTGAATATCTGTATGTGCCTAAGCGCCTGTACTGAGTCGGGATTGAGAACCATTGCTGAAGGCCATGCGTCTACCTAGATAATCTCAAATTCCCCAAACGAAATCCCCACTGGCCCCGAAAGCCTAAACTCCCTGACATCTCACCTTTAGACTGTATGGTTAGAAGGTTCTTCCTGTATCCTGCAACGATCGGTCCAGGTGAAATTTGCACCTACTGGCCCTTACTCTAACCACACAAAACACATCATGTCCCTCATCCAAAATGTTTAAAAGATCAAATGAACTGTACCAAAGTGAGAGGAAAGCTTATTTATTGTCAGGGTACTTTTAGGAATCCTGCATTTACTGCCTGAGCCACAGAAATGGAATACTGAAAGAGAAGAGAGGTGAGGGCTATAAAGCAAACACACACAAGGCCAATTTAGACATGAGAGTGGGGATTTGTGTGTTTTTGCAATACTGGAGTTGGTACAAACAGAGCTAACCACCCTGAGAGAGAATACAAGATCCTCGTTATGTTCATAAAGGGATTTTACAGATACTTTTTTGGGGGGTGGGGGGTTGGAGCCACAATGCCCTGCTTTAAAGGAAATAATCACCTTTCCTGGAACACATCTATGATCTTGATTGTACACAAATAAGCAATAAAGACTCCCCTCTTTACTCTCCAGCTGGACACTTGGCCAAGGGCATTTTGGTTTTCTCTGACTAGCCAGGAAAGGAGGTATGGGGGAAGCCACCCTGGCCCCCAGAGCCCCAGGGGACAGTGTCACTTGGGCGGGGGGGAGGGGGGACCAGCTCCCACACAGGAGAGGCAGCTCAAGGCTTCTTTCTTTCCAGGAAAGCTAAAAAACCAATTTCGTAATTCCCTTTTATTTTTCTTTTTAGAGATGGGGTCTCACTCTGTCCCATCCTCCTGCCTCAGCCTCCCAATGTACTGGGACCACAGGGCTCGCCCCCTCGCCAGGCCCAATTTTCAATGTGAAAGCTCTTGGTTTTTAAAAGTTGGAAACACATTTTTTAAAAACTTGTAAGACACTGTGAGGGTCAAAAAAAACCCAACTGCAAGTACACAGATCCCCGCACTTCCTGTCCTTGGCTTCTGTTCTTGCGGTGGGGTCTGTATTCTCCACTCTGCCAGAGAGCCTCTGAGATTAAGGGTCAACAACACAGCAAGGTCTTAGGATTTCAAAAGGACGGGAGGGAGGTCCATTTAGTGACACATTTTCTGAGTGGCTTAAAAAAAAAACACCTCAGGGGGCTTTGGAAAATAAGCAGGCATCCTCAGGAAGGACCCCCCCCACCCAACCCAGGGAAGTTTACAGACCTTCCCCCAGAAAGGTTAAAGTATCTCACTGCGCGCGCAAAAAAGAAAAAAAAAATCAGCTTGAAAAATAACAGAAATGGGCCGGGTGCAGTGGCTCATGCCTGTAATCCCAGCACTTTGGGAGGCCACGGCAGGGGGATCACTTGAGGTCTGGAGTTCCAGAGCAGCCTGGCCAACATGGTGAAACCTATCTCTGCTAAAAATACAAAAAATTAGCCAGGCATGGTAGTACATGCCTATAATCCCAGCTACTGAGGAGGCTGAAGCAGAAGAATTACTTGAACCTGGGAGGTGGAGGTTGCAGTGAGCTGAGATTGTGCCACTGCACACTAGCCTAGGCAACAGAATAAGACTCTGAATGATAATAAATAACAATAAATGATAATAATATAAAAGTTAACCCTTTTTAGGTTGGCTGAACTTTCAGTGGGGTTCAGTGGCAGTTCTGGCCAGGGCATATCTATAAGTTGAGGGCGGCCCTGAGAGAGCTCTTCCGGCACAGGGCCTCATTGATAACGTCTCACCTTGACAGTCACCACTGACCAGCATCATGCTGTCTCACAGAAATATAACTCAAGCCACATGTGGTATTTTCAATTGTTTTATACCCACATTAAAAAAAAATAAAGAGTATTGATGTTAAAATATGTATAATTCAACCCAATACATCCAAATGTTAACATTTCAACAAGTAAGCACTGTCAGAAATACTGACATTTTATATTCTCTTTTTTGCACTGTCTTCCAAATCCGGTGTGTATCCTATACTCACTGCACACCTCAACTGAGACAAGCCTCACCTCAAGGTTTCTACAGCCACACATGGCCTGGTGCTGTCCCTGCAGGCTCAGCCAGGCCCAGAGACACCCACATTTATGTACAGTACTGCACACGAGGCTTTCCCTGTAACTTTTTGTCTGGTTTTGTTTTTTGATTCATGAATTTTTATATATTTGTCAGGTTACTATCAATTATAATTCGTATTCCTTTATGGCTGATCTACTACTTGCTACTCCCATGAAGTCTGTAAGATAACTTTAATGAGGTATAATTTATGGTCGTGGGGCCATGTGTGGTGGCTCACACCTGTAATCCTAGCACTTTGGGAGGCCAAGGCAGGCGGATCACTTGAGGTCAGGAGTTCGAGACCAGTCGGGTCAACATGGTGAAACCCTGTCTCTACTTAAAAAAATACAAAAATTAGCCAGCCGTGGTGGCTCATGCCTGTAATCCCAGCTACTGGGGAGGCTGAGGCAGGAGAATTGCTTAAACCCAGGAGGCAGAGGTTGCAGGGAGCCAAGATCATGCCACTGCTCTCCAGCCTGGGCAACAAGAGCAAAACTCCATCTCAAAAAAAAAAAATTATGGTCAAAGGTCAGGAAGAGTTTCTGGTTAGCACCTGAGGGAGGTGGACATGGGATCATTTTCAGGAAGACTTGTGGAGGGTTTTTTGAAAGGAATGGTACCAGCCTGTTCAATAACTCTACCTTTTGGTTTCATGCAGGAGGGATCACTTAGGTTCTATCCCTATTCATGACACGCGAGGTAGTAGGCCGTGAAACTGATCGTCATTAGGTCTCCACTCACTGACCCAGACAGGTTCAGGTCTTGACTGACACTGCTCACAACATTATCTGGACATACTAAATTTATGCTGGTCAGCTGGTTCATAGGTGGTGAGGTCTCCCGTCCTCAGCCCAGAGGAGGAAGTGAAATTATTGCTGTGACCCCTCAAAAGTCCAGGCTAGACAAAAGCAAAGTTGTGGAGATGCTACTGATGGCCATGCGGCCCTGGAGGTCTGGGCTGGTTTTTTCACCAACTTTCACTCTGACTAGGACTGGATTAGGGACCCCTGTCATAAGGTTTGTTTCAAGTACAGCCTGGTTGTGGCCTCAATTTTGCCTGATGTTTTGCAAGAGACTCTCCTTCCAAGAACTAGCCTGACCATCCTTAATCCACCTCTGAAAGCACTGGCCATAAAGAGGGCTGCCCATGAGATCAATCCTAATCCCTGGAATACCCATCAGATGCCCCAGCCTCCACTAGGCATAGGAAAGAAGAGAAGGAAACTAATTATTTGCATCTATTGTAACTGGATCGTTCAAGCATGAAAGACGTATACACCAATAAAAATCACCATCACAACAAAGATACAGAATATTTCCTTTAATCCCTAAATCTTCTTAGTGCCCCTTTATAGTACTCCCTCTCTTCATCCCACCCTAAGTAACTAACTATCCACTTCTGTCACTAGAAATGAGTCACCATTCTCTAAACTACTAAATAAATGAAATCGTATAGTATGTCCTTTTTGTGTTCAGAATCTTTCATGCAGCACAATCTTGAAGTCCAGTGAGACTGCTGTATAAGTGGTCCCTCTATTGGTTGGTAGTATTCTATTGTAGGATGTGCCAAAATGTATCCATTCAACTGTTGATAGACATTGGGGTCATTTAGTTTTTGGCTATTACAAATAAAACTGCTATAAATATTTATGTATAAGTCTTTTTATAGACATGTTTTCATTTCTCTTAAATAGACACATAGGACAGGAATGACTGAGACATATGGTAGGTATATTTGACTTAGACTGTTTTGGCCTGGCACCATGGCCCATGCCTATAATTCCAGCACTTTGGGAGACAGAGGCAAGAGAACTGCTTGAGCCCAGGAGATGGAGACCAGCTGAGTCAACATAGCAAAATCCTATTTCAATTTTTAATTTTAAAAAGTTAGTAAATAAACTGCTTTACATTTCTACATGAGTTGTAAGAAAATTCCAATTGCTGCACGTTCTCACCAATATTTAGTATTATCAGACCTATATACATTAGCCTTCCTAATAAGTATGTAGTAGTATCTCACATGCTAAGTGATGTTGCCTATCTTTCCACGTGCTTATTTGCCATTCCTGTATTTTTTTTTGTGAAGTGCCTACTCAGATCTTTTGCCCACTTTTAAGAGTTTGCCTTTTTATTATTGAATTATAGTTCTTTATATATTCCAAATAGGAGTCCATTGACAGATATATGTATCAGGAAAATTTTTTCTCATTCTGTGGATTGAGTTTTGCTGTTTTAATGTCTTCTGAAGAGTATAGATTTTTCATTTTGGAAACATCCAATCTACAAGTTTTCCTTTTATGACCCATGAATTTTGTGTTGAATCTAAGAGATCTTTGCCTTTCTCAAGATTGTAAGATTTTATCCTATGCTTTTTTCCCAAAGTTTCTAGCTGTAAGTTTTCTATTTAGGTCTATAATCCATTCTGACTTAATTCTTGTGAATAATGTGAGGTCAGAGTAAATGTTAATTTTGACTCATTAGACTATCCAGTTGTCTCAGTATCATTTGCTGAAAAAAAACAAACAAAAAACCCAACCCTCCACCCTTTTCCTCATTGAATTTTCGTGGTACTCGTGTTGAAAATCCATTGTAGTAAGTCCAATATAAGTGTGGGTCTGTTTTTGTACTCTGTTCTACTGACCTGTCTACCTAGTCTTATGCCAATGCCAGGCTGCCTTGCTCAGCTCTGAGACTACCCACATTAGTCTAGTCCAAAGTCATGACTAGCAGAAGTTTTGAAAGTAGGTAGTTCAAGTACTCCACCTGTTATTTTTTTAAAAATTTTTTTGCTATTCTAGGTACTTTGCAGCGCCTATGAATTCAGAATCAGCTTGTTAATTTCAATTTAAAAAAATCTGCTGGGATTTTATTTGAATTCTACTGGATCTATAGATAACTGTGGGAACTGCTGTCTTAACAATATTGAGTCTTTTGATCTGTGAACATGCTATCTCTATTTATTTTAATCCTTAATTTAATCAGTAACGCTTTGCAGTTTTAAGTGTACAGATCTTGTATATATTTTGTTAAATTTATCCCTAAGTATTTTATATTTCTAAATACTACTGTAAATGAAATTGCATCTTAAATTTCAACTTTCAAGTGTTCATTGCTAGTTCACAGAAAAACTACCGATTTTTGCATACTGACTTTGTATCCTGTGACCATGCTAAATTATTAGAGGAAATTATTAGTTCTGGTAACTTTTAAAAATAGGTTCCTTACAAAAAGGATCATGTCAAATGCAAATAAAGATAGTTTTACTTCTTTTCCAATCTGTGTACTTTTATTTCTTTTTCCTTTCCTTACTGCACTAGCTAGGACTTCCAACAGAATATGAAAAGAGGACAACACACTTTATTACTAATCTTAGAGGCAAGTTATTTGGTTTTTCATCAGTAAATGTTGATGTTACTTGTGGATTTTACACAGATGCCCCTCAGTAAATTCAGGAAGTTGTTTTTTATTGCTAGTTTGTTGAAAGTTTTTGGTACAAATGGCTGGTGGATTTTTGTGAGATGCTTACTCTGTATCTATTGGGATGAGGAAATGGTTTTATTCTTAATGTTGTTGATATGTTGCATTATATTGATTTTCTAATGTTAAACTAACTTTGTATATCTGGGATATATCCCAGTTGATGCTGATGTATCGTCTTCTTACCAAATGCCATTTACTAATATTTTGGTAAGGATGTTTGCATTTATATTGCATTTATAAAAGATACTGGAAGGCTGGGCGCAGTGGCTCACACCTGTAATCCCAGCACTTCGGGAGGCCAAGGCAGGCAGATGATAAGGTCAGGAATTTGAGACCAGCCTGGCCAATATGGTGAGACCCCATCTCTATTAAAAATACAAAAATTAGCTGTGTGTGGTGGTGCACAACTATAGTCCCACCTACTTGGGAGGCTGAGGCAGGAGAATCACTTGAACCCAGGAGGCAGAGGTTGCAGTGAGCCAAGATTGCCCCACTGCACTGCAGCCTGGGTGACAGAATGAGACACCATCTCAAAAAAAAAAAAAGACACTGGAATATTAGTGTGTATTTTTCTTATGGTAGCTTTGACAAGTCAATATCAGAGTAATACCGGTTTCATAAAATTAGTTAGAAACTATTCCCCTTAATTAAAAATTAAAAAAAAAAAAAAGGGATCGCTTTTGTAGTGAGTATGATGACTGGGTGTTCACATGCTTGTGTGAGATGTGCCACCCTTGGACCTTGTTACAACATCGGCACATTATCCATCTGACCTGAAAAATTAAAAAAAAGGAAGAAAGAAACTATTCCCCCCTACAGGAGTTTGGCTAGGATTATTATTACTTCTTCTTTAATTGTTTGAGGAAATTCACCAATGAAATCATTTGAGCCTATTGTTTTCTTTGTAGGAGAATTTTAATTATGAATTTCATATCTTTAGTAGATATTGGGCTATTCAGACTTTTCTATTTCTTCTGGTGTCAGTTTTAGTAATATTTGTCTTTCAAGAAATTTGTCAATTTCATCAAAGTAGTTAAATACATTGGCTAACAAATTTATTGTTGATATCCTCCCTTATATTCTTTCAAATGTCTCTAGAATCCATAGTGGTGTCCCTCCATTCGCTCCTGAAATTGGTCATTTGTTTCCTCTATGGGTTCGGTTTTTTTATTAATCTTACTGATCTTTTCAAAAAAACTGCTTTTGGCTTCGACTTTCTCTATTGTTTGTTCTCTTCATTATTTCCTTTCTTCAGCCAAACCACTTTAAAGTGCCCACCACTTTATCCAAATCCCAGAAATGTTAATGTATTATATTTTAATTATTCAAATCAAAATATTTTATAATTTCTTTTGTGATTTCTCCTTTGAGTCAAGAGTTACTGAGAAGTGAGTTGTTTAATACCCAAATATTTAGGGCTTTTAAAAATTCTTTCTCTGGCTGGGTGTGGTGGCTCACACCTGTAATCCCAGCACTAAGGAATTGAGCTAAGGAATTTGATTGAGACCAGTCTGGGCAACACAGCAAGACTTCTTCTCCGCTAAAATTAAAAAAAAAAAAATTAGCATGGTGGTAAAAGCCTACAGTCCCAACTATTTGTGGTGCTGAGATGGGAGGACTGCTTGAGCCCAGAAGGTCAAGGATATGGCAAGCTGTGTTTATACCACTGCACTCCAGCCTGGACAACAGAGCAAGATCCTGTCTAAAATTAAACACAATTCTTTTTCCTAATCTTTGTGGACAAAGAACATTCTGTAAGATTTCAATCTATGAAAATCTATTGAAAATTGTTCTATATCTTAACGGATGGTCTGTCTTTCTGAACATTCTATGTGCATTTACAAATAATGTGGGGTGGGAGGAGTGAGATCATCAGAAAAAACAACTATAGAGTACTATAGGTGACAAAATGGTCTGCACACCAAACCCCCAAAACAGCAGTTTTCCTGTATTAATGAACCTGCACGTGTACCCCTTAACTTAAAACAGAGAGGGATGGAGAATGTGAGGGAAGAGGAAGGAAAAAAGAAAAGATAGGAGGGAGAAGGAGGGAGCGTAAGAGAGAGAGAGAGTATATTTTTAACATATTGAGTGTGGCCTTTTATGGATGTTAATTAAGTGGTTCTTAGTTGTTCAAGTCTCCTACATCTTTACTGATATTTTTGTCTATTTTTCTATCAGTTATTGAGACAGTTATTAAAACTGTCAAGTATGACTGTGTATTTACCTATATCTCCTTTAGTTTTGCTGCATATACTTTGCTTCACATAGCTTGAAACTTTGCATTCAGGCATACCCATTACTACATCTTCCTGATGTACTGACCCTTCTATTTATGAAGTGTCCCTCTTTGCCTTGAGTTTACAGTCGTCCCTCAGCATCTATGAGGGATTGGTTTCAGAACCCCCCCAAAATACCAAAATCCCAGAATTCTCAACTCTCATCTAAAATGAAGTAGTCTCTGCATATAACCTACACATATCTTCCCATATATTTTCAATCATTCTGTAAGACTTCAATCTATGAAAATCTATTGAAAATTGTTCTATATCTTAATAGATGGTCTGTCTTTTTTAACATTCTATGTGCATTTACAAATAATTAGTTATAATACTGAATACAATGTAAATGCTATGTAAATAGTTATACTATACTGTTTTTAATCTTTTTTTATTGTTGTACTGTTATCTTTTGTTGGTGGTGGAGGATTTTGTTTTGTTTTTTAGATTTTCTATCTACAATTGGCTGAATCTGTAGATGTGAAATTCACAGATATGGAGGGCCAACCAACCTCCTCATCTTGAAGGGTATTGTCTGATGTTAATATTGCCACTGCATGGCATATTGTTTTCCATCTTTTTACTTTCAGTCTATTTGTGTCCTTGTACTTAAAGTACATCTCATGTGGACAGCATACACTTGGACCTTGCTTTTTATTCAGTCCTATATTCTTTGCCTTTTGATTAAGGTGCTGCACCCCTTTGCAGTAAATGTAATTATTTAGGTCTGCTATTCCTCTTTCTCTTGCTCTCTCTTTTTTTTTTTTTTTTTTTTTTTTTTTTTAGTATTCCATTTTAACTCCTCTATTGGCTCTGTCTCTTTGAATTACATTTTAGTGGTTGCTCTAAAGATTGTAATATACTTTTTTTTTTGAGACAGGGTCTAGCTCTGTTGCCCAGCCTGAAGTGTACTGGCACCATCATGGCTTACTGCAACCTCCAGCTCCCAGACCCAAGCCATCCCCCACCTCAGCCTCCCAAGGAGCTGAGACTACAGACATGCACGACCACGTCCGGCTAACTTTCTTTTGTATTTTTTGTAGAGATGGGATTTCACCATGTTGCCCAGGCTGGTCTAGGATTCCTGAGCTCAAGTGATCTGCCCTCCTCAGCCTTCCAAATACTGAGATTACAGGTGTGGTAATATACATTTTTAACTTACTACAATTGTATTAGAACATTCTCACACTGCTATAAAGAAATGTATGAGGCTGGGCAATTTATACAGAAAAGAGGTTTAACTGGTTCATGGTTCTGCAGGCTGTACAAGCATAATGCCAGCATTTGCTCGGCTTCTGGGAAGGCCTCAGGGAGCTTTTACTCATGGAGGCAAAGTAGGAGCAGACACATCACATGGTAAAAGCAGGAGAAAGAGGGCAGGGGAGAATTCACTATCTCAAGGACGGCACCGAGAGGGTGGTGCAAAACTACTCATAAGAAATCAATCCCCATGGCCAGGTGTGGTGGCTCACACCTGTAACCCTAGCACTTTGAGAGGCTGAGGCAGGTGGATTACCTGAGCTCGGGAGTTCAAGACCAGCCTGGCCAACACAGTGAAACCCCATCTCTACTAAGACACAAAAAATTAGCCAGGCATGGTGGCATGCACCTGTAGTACCAGCTACTCGGGAGGCTGAGGCAAGATAATCGCACTCAGGAGGCAGAGGTTGCAGTGAGCCGAGATCACACCACTGTGCTCCAGCCTGAGCAATAAACAAGACTCCGTCTCTAAAAAACAAAAAGAAACCCACCCCCATGATCTAATCATCTCCCACCACACCCCACCTCCAACACTGGGGATTATATTTCAACATAAAATCTGGGTGGGGACAAATATCCAAACTATATCAACAATCTTTTTAAATGTTAATTTTGAGTTATGCTAGAAAAGGACATCTGCAGTAATATATTTCCATTTAACTCCCCCAATTCATAGTGTTGTATATCAGATCTATAGGTATGATAAAACTATCAATAAAGTGTTTTTACTTTAAATGTTGATGTATCTTTTAAAGAGATAATAAAGAATAAATTAGTATTTTATACTTATTGATATCTACTGTTTCTAGTGCTCTTCATTCCTTCCTGTATATCCTTGAGCATTTCCCCCCACACCCTCTACCCCTTTAGTATTTCTTTTAATACAGGTCCCCTTTTTGTCTGTGCATTCACTAACCCTAGATCTTCTCTTAATTCTGACACATTTCCCTTTCATTCTCTGAACATATTTTTAATAGCTTTTTTAAAAACTGCGGTTAAAAAAAATAACAAAACTTGTCATTTCAGCTGGGTGCGGTGGCTCACACCTATTTTCCCAACAATTTGGGAGGCTGAGGAGAGGGGATCACCTGAGCTCAGGAGTTCAAGACCAACCTGGCCAATGTGATGAAACCCCATCTCTACTAAAAATACAAAAATTAACAGGGTGTGGTGGCAGGTGCCTATAATCCCAGCTACTTGGGAGGCTAAGGCAGAAGAAGAATCATTGAACCCAGGAGGCGGAGACTGCAGTGAGCCGAGATCACGCCATTGCACTCCAGCGTGCAATGGGCAACAGGAGTGAAGTTCCGTCTTTTAAAAAACCCCACAAAATGTGTCAGTGTAATCATTTCATGATAGCTGTTTAAATTTGCTAAAGCCAACATCTGGTTCTTCCTGGTGCTACTGACTGCCTTACTTCCTAAGGGTCTCTTTCCCTTTTCTTTCCATGTGCAGTAATGACAGATAACAGCAGTATTGTTGATACTATGCTGCGGCAACATTGCATTCTACTGGGTTATAGGTACTCTGTTTTATAGGAGAGAGCTATGTGCTGTAGATTGACTAGATTCACATACAAACTGATCTCTGTTCTTATGGCTTACCACTTTTTTTTTCTTTTTTTTTTTTGAGACAGAGTCTCAATCTGTTGCCCAGGCTGGAGAGTAGTGGTGCGATCTCAGCTCACCGCAACCTCCACCTCCCATGTTCAAGCAATTCTCCTGCCTCAGTCTCATGAGTAGCTGGGATTACAGGCATGCGCCACCGCACCCAGTTAATTTTTCTACTTTTAGTAGAGACGGGATGTCACCATGTTGGCCAAGCTGGTCTCAAACTCCTAACCTCAAATGATCCACCCGCCTTGGCCTCCCAAAGCGCTGGGATTACAGGCATGGTGAGTCCCCATGCCCAGCCTCCGCTTTCCACTTTTTAAACCTAGCACCCCGGCAGTGGTCTCCCCTGTGGCCTAATAATTTGGTGATCAGACACAGGTATGGGGTGATCTGGGGCTCACCCTTTCTGTGATTTCCTTGCTTCTAGGAATTCCTTCCCCCTTCCCTGCTAACTGATAGCTGCTCCATGCTCTGAAACTTCAAGCCCATAAAGGTTCAGCTTCACGACACACAGCTACATATGGCTAAGGGTGTGCAACAAATTCACCAGTCTGGCCCCACAAGCTCCATCTTTCAAGGGTTGATTTCTATCTGGTCTGGCTCTGCTTTCTTATGGGGCCCCCTGGGGTGTCGATGAAGTAAGAACAGTTTAACTGTTACCAGAGAGTTTACACCCAAGAATTTGGGTCCCTTTCCTGCAATTCTCTCACTGCCTAGATTTCTCCTTTAAATTTCCAGCTGCCTTTCTGGTCTTGAACTTGGGTTTCTAGCATTTTTAGGCAAGAAAGCTGAAATTTTTCTTCCTCACCCATCCCAGTTTCTGTAGCTACAGGATTTACACAAAGCCCTTGGGCTAGAAAGCCACAAGCTCCCAATTTTTATACTTTCTCATCAGTATTTTAAGATTAAACCTGTTCTGTGGTGTCTGTTTTTGGACACATTCTAGTACCCTTAAAAATATATTTTTTAAATCAGTTTTTATAATCATTATATCACATATTAACTCCCTTAACTCCACCACTGAACTCTTGTACCATCAGCAGAAATACTTCCCATAGAGTTTAACTGGTACACTGAGAAAGAGTCTAAACTATCCAGGTGTTGAGAGGAAGGGTATCTGGTCTCAGGCATCTCTGAACCCCCAAAGCCTGGCTATTGCATGACACCCAGTAGGTGTTCAATAAGCACGTGCTGAAAGAATGGCTGAAACATGACAAGTTTACTCCTGGTTCTGCCAGTTACCTACTACCATGTGATCTTAACCTCTAGGCAAAACTAATGAAACAATTATAGCATAAGATTCCCGGGCAATTTCAGTTAGAAAAATCTTACCTAGGAAAAGTGGTAGAGACATTTTCCAAATTTATGTTCACTGTAGCATTATTCATAATAATTAAAAAAAAAAAACTGGAAACAATCTCATTCTCGGAAAGCAGTTAAATTCTAGCAGATGATAAACTATCATTATTTCATAAAAAAAAAATTTTTTTTTGAGACAGAGTTTCACTCTCGTCACCCAGGCTGGAGTGCAATGGCAAGATCTCAGCTCACTGCAACCTCTACCTCACAGGTTCAAGTGATTCTCCTGCCTCAGCCTCCCAAGTAGCTGAGATTACAAGTGCCTGCCACCACACCCAGGCTGGTCAGGAATTTCACCATGTTGGTCAGGCTGGTCTTGAATTCCTGACCTCAGGTAATCTGCCCGCCTTGGCCTCCCAAAGTACTGTGATTACAGGCATAAGCCAGCCACTGCACCCAGCTGTAAAATGTTTTAGAATAATGTTCTTAATGATATGAAAAAATTCTCTGTGTAGAAACGTTGAGAGAAAAAATTCAGTACATAAAATAAGAGCCAGACTTAGATTTTATTCTTAATTTCTCCATGTAGAGTTAACTACATTATTTGCCTTGTTCAGGTTAATTTATAACAAACTTTTTTCATCTGCAAATGGAGAAAATGATACCAGTTTATTGGGAGGCTTAAGTGATGTCCACTTAAAAGAAATTACTCAAAAATATTCATTTTGGGCTAGGCGCGGTGACTCATACCTGTAATCCTAGCACTTTGGGAGGCCGAGGTGGGCGGATCACAAGGTCAGGGGACCAAGACCATCCTGGCCAACATGGTGAAACCCCATCTCTACTAAAAATACAAAAAATTAGCCAGGCATGGTGGCAGGTGCCTGTAATCCCAGCTACTTCGGGAGGTTGAGGCAGGAGAACCACTTGAACCTGGGAGGCGGAGGTTGCAGTGAGCCGGGATCAAGTCACTGCACTCCATCCAGCCTGGGCAACAGCGCGAGAAAAAAAAAATTCATTTCACTTTTACAGTGAGTAGTCATAAAATGTTAGCCAATGTTAACTATTATATCTAGTTAATATATATATGTTTATTCTGTTGAATGTAATAACAGTATTGTGTTATATTTTTACTTTGCCTTTTTTAAAGCTCTGTGAAAAGAGCTATGGTTGGGCTAAACCAAGCTTGTCCAACGCACAGCCCATGGGCCACATGCAGCCAAGGACAGCTTTGAATACAGCCCAACACAAATTCTTAAACTTTCTTAAAACATGAGATTTTTTTTTTTAGCTCATCAGCTATCATTAGTATTAGTGTACTTTATGTGTGGCCCAAGACAATTCTTCCAATGTGGCCCAGGGAAAAGATTGGACACCCATGGGCTAAATAATCCCTAAGACCCTAAGAGACCTACCATGGTTCCCTGGATGGTATTGACACAAACGGAAATTCAGAAAAGAAAGAACTCAGAATTCAGAAAAGCGGGCACTGGGATGAATGGCCGGGTAATGCCACAAGGATGGGTTGTGGAAGTAGGACTCCAAGGGTGGACCATGGCTGGCTGGGGAGTGCACTCGGGAGGCCATAGCATGAGCAAATCCAGTGCGGGAGAAAATCTCACAGCCTGGTGGCAGGGGAGGTGCAGAGGGCAGACCCAAGAACAGGGAGGCTGGGTCGGTACAAGAAATAGTGAAGCTTGATAAGTAGAGAGCAGATTGGAAGAGGACAGTGAGAACAGTGGTTACAAAGGGACTTGCCATTCAGGAACAGTTCACCAGGGGAATTAGCAGGTCAGGGAGAAACCAGGTGTAACAGAGCAGAGTACTAGCAGCAGACACTTCAGAGAAAAAAAAAAATAGCAGGCCACTGGAGAAAATACTCATTAACACAAAGTCTGGAAGTGGAGCCTAGGGCCAAAGACAATGTGAGGTAGGAACCTTGTGTTTGTTAGAAACCACTAGTTGAGAAAGAGAAACGGGGAGGATGGGAGAGAATGGAGGGTGGGGTAGAGAGATACAGAGAATACACCTTCCTGTTTTAGATGAAACAGTTTGGAAACTACCAAGGCAATCCTGAAAGTAGGGGTCCGCTGAGTCCCTGCTGACTTGATTTCTCTTTCTACTGTGACCTCGGACAGAGAGGTAGAGATGTGCATGGGGAAGACCAGAAACAAACACACCGAGTTCAACACAGAGATACCCAGCCACAGGGTGGTGCTTCTCACCCTAGCTAAAACGCTTTCCAGCCTAAAACGCCAGAAAAATAGTGGCAACACCAAAGCAGCAGAGTTGAATGAAGCCATTTGGTATGGAGAAGAAAGAAGGTGACAGAGACACACACAGTATTGCCAAAGGCTCTTCTAAGTGTCTCCAAGGTTGACAGCCGGCACACAGTACAATTTGTTCCACTACACTTGGCCACATTCTTGGGCCTCCTAGATGCCAAATGCCACTAGCTTTACAACAGCTCTCTGCTGACTAAAAGCTTTTATGAGCCAAATGAAGTTGCTTCCAATTTACATTGAATGTGTATTTCTTGGCTGGAGAAATTTGTCACTGTTAATCATTTACTTTTGTACAAAACAACCTTTATTTCTATTACATGATTAATAATTCCTCTAATGTCATAACCACCCAAATATATATCAAAACCACAAGGACACACACATTCCACAAGTTTAAGCAAATCTTCTCCATGTGATTTCTGTGGAACAGGGGACCAGTCACACCCAGGCTGGCAGGACAACAATCTTATTATTAAGTAAAACACGTCACAGCACTAGGAAGCCCAGTTCTCCAGCAACTTCACAAGTTTCTGAGCACTAATGACACATGGCATTGTGGTCAGACTGCTGCCTCTGCACACCAACCACAGGCCAGTTACCTTACATTCTTTCTGGTCAGAGGGACAACTCATAAGGTAGGAGCAATTATCACCCCAAGTGTGCGGATGAGGAACCCTGAGGCTCAGAAGGTGTGTGGTATGCCCTGGTAACACAGCCAAGGAGACATATAGCTGTACTATGGCTTTCTAACCAAGGTCCAATTTTCCTTTCTTCCTTACCAACAGAGCCCAGTTGCATCTGGGGTGGCCATACGCCCAGCTGAAGTATACATTTCCGACTCTGTTTAAACCCCCGTGACCAAGTGACTGGGACCTGGCTGGGGAGGCATGGGGGAAGCTCCTTGACAAAGAGCCAGAGCCAGCGTCCTTCCCCGGCTTAGACTGGAACACTGACTGCAGAGGTGCTATCTGGTCACACCGAGACGGAGTCACTTGCTAAGGGTGGCAGAGAGAGAGAGAAGGTACTTGTTCCTGATGACACCGTGGACTGCTGAGCCGTCACAGCCTGTTCATCTCCAGCATCCTTATTCTACCTCTGGGGCCTAGGCCTCTACAGTGGGATCGGCTACCAGCAGCTTGATTTAGTGCTTCTGTCTGCTTCTGACACCTGGGGCCACTGCCGAGTGCTCAGTGCCTACACAGCTAGGCTTGTTGCTGGGGGAGGGCACAGAGTGGAGAAGAATTTCCTGCCATTTCCTACAATACAGGAAAGGCATCAAGAACTCTTAGGGAAAAAAAGCATCCACTAATAAGTCAATTATAAAAGATTAAAAATTGTTAAAATAAAATTAGGAGAAAAATCTCCCTTCTAAATACACTATTTAAAAAGTATCTAAATCTAAGATGGGGCCAAGCACAGTGGCTCACACCTGTAATTCCAACACTTTGGAAGGCCAAGGCGGGAGGATCACTTGAGGCCAGGAGTTTGAGACCAGCCCAGGAAACACAGCAAGACTCCATCTCTATTGACAAAAAGAAATCTAAAACGAGTAAAACCTAATATATATTTTAAAATGTATGATAAATGTGGCTTTAATTCAAGAGCTATGAATTTCTGGCAAGTAAATTTTAAGTCCAAAATAAAGAGAAGCTGGGTACTGACTATGATAATGGATGTGGCATTTTTTTGTTAACTTGAATTTCATAGTGACCCTATTAAAAACAGATCTAAAAGAGAACACTGTTAAATGCCATAAAACATTCAATTTCCTTGTTGGTTTTTCCCCTTCTGTTTACATCCACAAATGGTTTGGCACTGACAGAAACAGTTTAAATGAAGCCCCCACACAGAATGCCAAAACTCAGAGCCCCTCTCCCAGGGCCCCAGCCATCAAGCCAGGCAAAACTGGGGTTCCAGGTAACAAAGACCATCAACAATCTTGACTGTACATGAGTTCCCACCTAGGTCTCTACGACCACATAACAGCAAATAATCTCAGTGGTCAACTGCTTGGTGTGACACAACAGGCATTAAGTGAACAATATTTATGATCTCCAATATTTTTCACATTATAGCCCACATTAAAAAATGCTAATATCTGTACTGCACACTGGGATAGAAGTGAAGATTGCTCACAGTGGAGGGACCCAGCTCCCAAAGGGATGCAGGGACTGACACCACAGCACATAAGCAGCCAGTGATTCCTAGACCCCACCTAGGGCCTGCTCCACTGACAAAGGTAAGTTATTCAGGGAGTAAGGGTATTTCCTCAAAAGCCCCTCTCCCCCTTTTTTGGGGGACAATGTCCTGCTCTATTGCCCAGGCTGGACTGCAGTGGTGCAATCTTGGCTCACTGCAATCTCTGCTTTCTAGGTTCAGGTGATTCATGTGCCTCAGCCTCCTGAGTAACTGGGACTACAGGTGTGTGCCACCACACCTGGCTAATTTTTGTATTCTTAGTAGAGACGGGTTTCTACTAAGAATAGATGTCTTTAGTAGAGACAGGGCTTTATCATGTTGGCCAGGCTGGTCTCGAACACCCAACTTCAAATGATCCATCCCCTCTCAGCCTTCCAAAGTGCTGGGATTACAGGTGTGAGCCACTGGCCCAGCTTAATTTTTTTATTTTTAGTAGAGATGGGGTTTCACCATGTTGACCAGGCTGGTACCGAACTCCCGGCCTCACAAGATCCACCTCCCTCGACCTTGCAAAGTACCGGTATTACAGGCATGAGCCACCATGCCTGGCCAAAAGCCCATCTTAACAGGAAAGTGGATTCAGTGTTAGGCACTTAATAAGAGCCTCCCCACTCACCACCAAAATGAGAGCTTTCTGGTACTTAAAACTGGAGAACCATTACCACTTTCTATTATCACACATATCCATTACTGCAGTTAAGAATACAAAACCCAGCTAGGTGTGGTGGTTCACACCTATATAATCTCAGCACTTTCAGAGTCTGAGGTGGGTGGATCATGAGATCAGGAATTCAAGACCAGCCTGGCCAAGATGGTGAAACCCCGTCTCTGCTAAAAATATAATTAGCCAGGTGTGGTGGTGGGCATCTGTAATCCCAGCTAGTTGGGAGGCTGAGGCAGAGAACTGCTTGAACCCGGGAAATGGAAGTTGCAGCAAGCTGAGATCACACCACTGCACTCTAGCCTGGGTGACAGAGTGAGAATCCATCTCAAAAAAGAAAAAAAAAAATACAAAACCAACTATTACATTGACAGTTGCTTGCTTCTAGTTTTTAGTAGTAGTAGTGATAATATTCATTGTTGGCAGGGTTGGAAGTATAAATTCAACTGAATGATTTTTAAAAACCCACTTGGCAATATAAATAAGAATTGTAAAAATGTTCTCTCATTTACCCTAGTAATTCCATTCCTAAAATGTGTTCTAAGGAAATCAGTGATATCCGTAAGGATGTATGTAGAAGAATTGTTCATGACCAGCTCTTTCCAATAAATTATGGGACATCTATTTGAAGAATGGAATACAATGCAGATGTTAAAAATCGTATTTTAGGACCGAATGTGGTGGCTCAAGCCTGTAATCATCTCAGCACTCTGGGAGGCTGAGATGGGTGAATCACCTGAGGTCAGAAGTTCAAGACCAGCCTGGCCAACATGGTGAAACCCATCTCTACAAAAATACGAAAATCAGACAGACATGAGGGTGGGTGCCTGAACCCAGGAGGCGGAGATTGCAGTGAGCCAGATCGTGCCATTGCACTTGAAGCCTGACCGACAGAAAGAGACCCTGTTTCAAAAAACAAAATAAAACAAATCAGACTGAGGAGGGTACTGTGCAGGGAAGACCAGAAAAAGAAGACCAGAAGGGGCATTGAAGAGCCACCAAGCTCCCAGGAGCAAAGGTGGAACTTGTACCAGGGGCAGGAGAGACTTCTGAGAACTGACTGGGCTGACCTGATGGACCACAGGACCTCAACACTGTCACATAGATGTGTGTGTGTGGTATATATATTATATTGTTTAATACAGAATTCTTTTTTTTAATTTAAAAAAATAGGGTCTTCCTACCTATGTTGCCCAGGCTGGCCTTGAACTTCTAAGTTCAGCGATCCTCCTGCCTCAGCCTACCAGAGTGTTGAGATTACAGGTGTGAGTCACTGTATCCCACGTATTATATCACTCTCTCTTTTTTTTTTCCTGTTCAGTCTCTGTAGAGACTGTCAAAAACTGCCAGTGCTGACTACATTTCAATTTGTCATGGCAGGGTATTGGGTAAGTTTCCAATTAGCAATAATCACACCTTGGATAAACCTCATTGGCTATGATACTGCCGCTGTGCAAAGCATTATCTATTTTTGTAATTAGAAAAAAGTTGTCCAGTTTTATAGCAACACGTTAAGAGCAGTCTTACCTGGGCTGATAGAATTGTGGGGGATCTTTATTTTCTTTTTTTCTTCTTTTTCCAAACTTACACAGTGAACACACACATTGCTTTAATAAATAGTGGCATGGCCAGGCCCAGGCTTATGCCTGTAATTCCAACACTTTGAGAAATCAAGGCGGGAGGATCACCTGAGGTTAGGAGTTTGAGACCAGCCTGGCCAACCCAGTTTCTACTAAATATACAAAAATTAGCTGGGCACAGTGGCAGGCACCTGTTGTCCCAGCTACTCAGGAGGCTGAAGCAGGGCAAACTGTTTGTAGCTGGGAGGTGGAGGTCACAACAAGATCACAGCGTAGGCACAGAGACTCTGTCTCAAGAAAAAAAGAAAGTAGGGGAAAGACTTAAGTGGGGGGAGCTATGACACAGGGGGGTATGATTTGCTTGTGTGTTATAAAAGCAAGTTAAAATCCTACATTAAAAAGGTATGTGTTGTGCTCTTTGGCAGAGCCAAATTTAATTTGAAAGCCACTAAGAAAAAAAAGAAGGGGAAAAGGCAAGGAACTGCTACACCCAAAAGCCATTGTAATACAATTTCCTGTTACATGACCGACATTCCTAAACTTAAGCGTTTCTTTCTTCCTTCTCCTCTTACTAATATTTCAGCACGAGTGTTCAGTAACACCAAACAGTGGTTCCCTTTCAAGAGGAAGGGAGAAAGAGGAAATGTCCATGTTATTTAAATTCCTTTATCTTTTTCATTAGTAAAATATCTTTATTACAGTGAGGCAATCCTGTGGCAGGATCTTGTCACCAAGACAAAGGGCTGGGAGATTAGCATTACCACTTCTCTGTAGCTTTCTTGGTGATGCATGCTATTAGAATTAAGCTAAATAAATATCCCTAGGAGATCTGCATTTCTGGTTAGCATCTCTTCCAGTGTCCGGCAACTGAGGGGAGGGTTTTGCCTGGACTAGTACACAGAACCCTCAATAGTCAGCAAGCACTGAGTGAGCACAGGCTCTGCAGCATGGGAGGCCTTGTGGGTATGGGGGGATAAACTACCAAGATCTAGGCATCCAGAAACACCACCTAAGACAGGGAAAGCAAGACTGGAGTATAACAATCTGCCAACACAAGGCACATCACATGGAGCATCACTGGGGTTAGAAATACATTTCTGAGGCCGGGCGTGGCAGCTCACACCTGTAATCCCAGTACTTTGGGAGGCTGAGGAGGGTGGATCTGCTGAGGTCAGGAATTTGAGACAAGCCTGACCAACAGAGTAAAACCCCGTTTCTACTGAAAATACAAAATTAGCTGGGCATATAATCCCAGCTACTTGGGAGGCTGAAGCAGGGGAATCGCTTGAACCTGGGTGGCAGAGGTTGCAGTGAGCTGAGATTGTGCCATTGTACTCCAGCCTGGGCAATAAGAGCAAAACTCGAACTCAAAAAAAAAAAAAAAGAAAAAGAAAGAAATTTTTGGTCTTCCGGTCCTAGGTGCTTTGGGAACCGTGGCTTAGGTGCAGACATGGCCAAGTGCAAGAATCACACCACACACAACCAGTCCCAAAAATGGCACAGAAATGGTAACGAAGATATGACTCTCTTAAGGGGGTGGACCCCAAGTTCCTGAGGAACATGTGCTTTGCCAAGAAGCACAACAACAAGGGCCTAAAGAAGGCCAACAACGCCAAGGCCAGGAGTGCATGTGCCAAGGCCAGCAAGGCCCTCATAAAGCCCAAGGAGGTTAAGCCCAAGATCCCAAAGGGTGTCAGCCGCAAGCTCAATCGACTTGCCTACATTGCCCACCCGAAGCGTGGGAAGCATGCTTCTGCACGCATTGTCAACGGGCTTAGGCTCTGCCGGACAAAGGTCAAGGCCAAGGCCAAGGCCAAGGATCAAACCAAGGCCCAGGCTGCAGCTCCAGCTTCAGTTCAGGCTCCCAAAAGGTGCCCAGGCCCCTACAAAGGCTTCAGAGTAGAGATCTCTGTCTGCCAACGTGAAGACAGAAGGACTGGTGCGACCCCCTGGGGCTGCCATCTCCATGGGGCTGGGGTCCTCCTGTGCTATTTACACAAATAAACCTGAGATAGCGGGGGGGGGGGGGGGGGGATTTCTGGTATCCCACACTAGTAATCACAGCACTCTCCAAGGCTGAGGCAGACAGGTAGCTTCAGCCTAGGAGTTTGAGACCACCCTGGGCAACATGGTGAAACCCCGTCTCTATAAAAAATAGAAAAATTAGCCAATCATGGTGATGTGTGCCCGTGGTCTCAGTTACTTGGGAGGTTGAGGCGGGAAAATCGCTTGACCTAGGAGGTCAGTGCTAAGTGAGCTGAGATTGTGCCACTGCACTCCAGCCTGAGCAACAGACCTTGTCTCAAAAAAAAAAAAAAAATTTGAATAGGAACAGCTCATATCCAGGTGGAAGTACCAGGAAGAGCCTGTGTAAAAAGGAATCTGAGTAGAATCACAGCAGATACTAGAATCCAGACAGGAGGTGATACTTCCAGCCAATAAAATGGTATGTCAGAGAGCCCCAAAGTAAGCAAGCAGGAAGGGCTCTCTGGGAGGCTGAGACACTGCAGAGAGCTCCTCTGCAGAGGGGAGCATGTGGGGAGGGTGAGACCAGGGTCTGGGAGGCCCCGGAAGCTGCAGGAAAGTGGAGACAGGAGTCAGGCTGGCCAGCTGCCAGGGATGTTGAGGGGTGGCTGAGTGTGGATGCCCAGGGAATAGGAGGAGGGGAGAGGGACCCTGATAAACCCCATGCCCCATAGACATGAGGGCCAAGAGAGGACATCAAAGAGAAGCAACCCCTGTGAGGATGGAAATGAGAAAAGAATTCCTATCTGAGGAATCTGAGTTCTTTTGAATTATTAGCCCCAGAGAAACATTTAACTGAGAGAATAATCACATTCTACTTCCCCCTTGTGGCATGTATTCACCTTCTGAAATTGCCTGCTGTTGCCACAAGTAGCTATAAATTAACCTAATAATGCCACACTGGACAGTTTAACCCACACCCCACAGCTTGATGGTGTACAACCAATCTCTTATCAATGTTATTTGTGTGGGCCAGTGAGAATTCCTCAAAAACAACTTTGTATCAGCCTACTCCCTGCCCCCTTTTTGCCTTTATTTATATTTATTTGTTTGCTTTTTTGAGATGAGATCTTGCTCTGCCACCCAGGCTGCAATAAAAATCCACCTGTAACTGCTGCTCATCAGACTGTGTGTCCAGGGTAACTAACCTGAATCTATGCTCCTCAGCTGCAGTCCTTAAGCTTGGCCCAAATAAACTTACATTAATGTTGCCTCAGCCTCTTCCTTTTAGATTGAAATATCCACAAAACTTAAAAAGGCAGCAGCAGCTATCCAGCGATAAGCTAGCAACACATACACTGGACATCAAAGGTGGAGCATGAAATGGCCACTCTAGGGGAGTAATGAACTCCTTCCTCAGACCTGTCACTCGTTCCGGATGTGTGAACAGCACATCTGACAAGGACCCTGCACACAGGTCAGGAAGGGCTCCGGTGGGCAGGAGAGAGCCTGAGTCACCCTCCTGACTCAACCTGTCTCCGTGCCCCCAACCAGTTTCCTCTAAAACACTGGGCCAACTAGAACTCACCTCCCACTGCTGTACTTCTCTGAGGAGATGACACATGGCAAACACTTAGGACAGTGTCACATGCAGGGCCTCTGCCAACGCCAGTCCTCATTCACATGAGACCCACATAGGGTCTCACCCCTTTGCAGTGCTATCTAGGTTGGTAAAGGGTCTGGGTATGCAAGTATTTGCATGGTGAGTGGAGAAGGCTTACTTTTTCTGCACTTTTTGGCTTGAGAATGTAAAGAATTCACTCCCTTTTCTTTTTTCTTTTTTTTTGAGACAGAGTTTCGCTCTTGTCACCCAGGCTGAAGTGCAGTGGTGTAACCTCAGCTCATTGCAACCTCTGCCTTGCAGGTTCAAGAGATTTTCCTGCCTCAGCCTCCCAAGTTACTAGGATTACAGGCGCCTGCCACCATGATCAGCTAATTTTTGTATTTTTGGTAGAGATGGGGTTTCACCACGTTGGCCAGGCTGGTCTCAAACTCCTGACCTTAGGTGCTCTGCCATAAGCGCTGGGATTACAGACGTGAGCCACCAAGCCTGGTCTCCCTTTTCTTATTAAGCAGATTGCTCCTGATTCACTGAGCAGCTGGCATGGCCATTGTTTTCAGGGAGCCTGCATCTAAGGGCACATCCTGATCACTGACTGTCTTCTTTAGGCCTTTCCTTATTGGGTCTAACAAAATCAGTTTGTCAGTTTGTTCAAGTTTCTTCCCTACCGTCATTCCACTGAAGATTTAAATCACTTAAACATAATAAAGTTGGGGGTTGCGGGGGAACTGAATTAATCAGGATTAGGAAAACTAGAGCTTACACAAAATTCAGGACCAGGAAAATGTATCAATGCTGAGCCACAGACTGGGCACCCCTCAGCAGATCAGAGGGTAGACAGGCAGGATACAGGTCATCCACAGAGAAAAATCACATGCCAGTTTTTCAAGGAAAACAGAACCCTTTCCTAGTACTCATATCCAAAGAAGGTTCTCACGTAAGGCTTCCTAGAGGGGACACCATGTGATAAAGTGCTTTGCTATTCTAAGGGGTCCAGGGACCATGGGCCTCTCCTGGGAGTAACTGAATTAGAACCTCACTCTCACAGGACCCACAGGCACCATCCTGAGTGCTATAATTAAGAGCAGTGAGTGCAGTGAACTGATGACACCCCCCACATACACACACCATGCAGGTCCTCCCCCTGTAACCCACTGCAACCAGAGGGAGAAAACAAGTCCCAGGTTTCCCTACAACAGAAATGTTTAGCGTACTTAAATGCAAATTTAACTGATCATTTATGCCAGTAACTATCCAATGCTCAAAATATGATACTCATAACCAAAAAACTTACCTAATTCCCTAAATCTGTATTTAAAGAGCAGCTCCTTCCGTAAAAAATAATAATCTAGTGGCCTAGATTGTTTTCCTACAGGAATTTCATAAGTCTTTTATGTGCAAAAGATTAATAAACACATCATTTGACATATACATTATATCCTTACACAGAAAATACCCTGAAGTGTTTTATTTTTTCCAGAAATTTCCATTTTGAAGTATTTTAATTAAAAATATACCCACATATGCTAGTTACAAGGGTGGGCTTAATATGTGAAAATTCATAAAGCTGTGTGCTTAGAAATTGTGCACTTTTAAAGTAAATTTTACTTTAATAAAAAGTTAAGGCTGGGTGTGGTGGCTCACACTTGTAATCCCAGCACTTTGGGAGGTTAAGGCTGGCAGGTCGCTTCAGTCTGGAAGTTCTAGACCAGCCTGGGTAACATGGCAAAATGCCATCTCTAGAAAAAATTTTGAAAATTGGCCAGATGTGGTGGCATGCCTGTAGTCTCAGCTACTTGGGAGGCTGAGGGGGGAGAATTGCTTGAGCCTGGGAGGTCAAGGCTGCAGTGAGCAGGGACCTCACCACTGCATTCCAGCTTGTGCAACAGAGCAAAATCCTTTTAAATAGACAAAACAGGAGAGAACAGGTGGGGGGAGGGGGAGAGAAGCTGCAAGAGTAAGAAATCTCGGCCGGATGTGGTAGCACATGCCTATAATCCCAACGCCTTGGGAAGCCGAAGCCGCCAGCGGATCACTCAAGGCCAGCAGTTTGAGACCAGCATAGCCAACATGGTGAAACCCCATCTCTGCTAAAAATACAAAAATTAGCCAGGCGTGGTGTCGCGTGCCTGCAATCCCAACTATGTGGGAGGCTGAGGGAGGAGAATCGCTTGAACCCAGAAGACAAAGGTTGAAGTGAGCCAAGATCACGCCACTGCACTCCAGCCTGGGCGACAGAGCAAGACTCCTTCTCAAAAAAAAAAAAAAAAAGAAAGGAAAAACCTAGTTATCTATTATACTGAATTCAAATCATCTTTTTAGCAAACAGATGCATACAACTCTAGAGGTACTGTTGACTTTTTTCTCTTATATTATCTGGGTTCACATAATGACTTTCCTGCCTGAATTTTCTGAAAGCAAATGCATTTTTTATCCAGACCAAGTAAAGCGTGAGTTGGAGGGCAGAGGTGGAGGCACAGCTGTTTTAAGTTATAAAGTAACACCATACACTAAACTGACTGAACTATTTCAAGAGCATTAAATATGGTAAATTGAGGCCTTTCTGCTGGCAATTAACATAAATTAAACGTTGATGGGAACTTCATTGTGTCATGATCCTTACTTTTACTGTATTTGTGTGTTTCTGTATTAGAAACAGCAATGGCTTTATGACTTCTTGCACTGTAATTATCACTAATGAATTTTACCCTAATAAGATCCCACCTTTATTTCAGATTAATTGCTTGATTTGTTTCTTTTTCTCACAGCTGAAATACAACTGCGAAGAACACAAGGGCTCAGCTTGCCTCCTTTGTCTACAGGTGATTTACAGAAGGTTTTAAGCTCTGCTGTTGGCCTGGAAGTTTCTCTGCAATCTTACTCCAGATTTCCCCAGCACTGCTCCTTCCCTACTTTCAAAACCACTGGGTTCTGTATGTCAAAGGATACTGCTTGGCAGCATATTTAACTTCATGCTTTCACAATGCGAATGGCTACACCTTTGCTGTCAGCTTCACTGCTGAAACACGCTGCACATTACTCAAGACCCTTGCTTTATCAAAACAGCTGGACATAATGCTCACTATAGACAATCCCAGGATAGCCCAAAGTATCAAGGAAGCCCCCAACAAAATAGCAGGATTAATTTCACAAACGTCTCCTTTGAGAAATGTAAATTCTCTATTTAATGTCTATGGTATTAAACTACAAAAGGATTGAGATTCTTTCTGGAAATAACAGGCAACACCATTAGCCTTTTTCTATGACTGTACTGCCAGGAGTGTGTGTAATTAGATTATTTCTAAGAAAGCAGAAGTGCTTGGGCCACTCTGATGTGCTTTGAGCATGAAATCTTACTACTTTTCCAAGGCAGCAAAAATACTTAGCTTATTTCCACTTCATGCAACTGTGATCTTTAAGATGACAGATTGTAATAAAGCACTGGTTTTCATGAATCACTTCATAATGCAATTATGTTTTTACTAGTCACATTTCACTAATTACATTTTTACCTGGTTGGACACTAGTTGCATTTTATATGGTCCTATCCCTCAACTTGGATTTTATTCTGGTATATGAATTGCTGAGAGATCATAAATGTATGGCTATGAGGTGTGTGTGTGTGTGTGTGTGTGTTTTAGAGACAGAGTCTCTATCTGTTAATCAGGCTTAGAGTGCAGTGGCTATCATAGCTCACTGCAGCCTCAAACTCCTAGGCTCAAGCAATCCCTTTCAGCCTCCCAAGTAATTGAGACTACAGGTGCACACCACCACATCCAGCTTTTTATTTTTTGTAGAGTCGGGGAGTCTCGCTATGTTGCCCAGGTTGGTCTCAAACTCCTGTCCTCAAGTGATCTTGCCTGGCCTCCCAAAGTGCTGGGATTACAGGCATGAGCCACTACACTCAACTCTGTAAGTTGTGTATTGATGTGTAACTGGTGCCACCTCCATTAAGCATCCTTTAATCCTCAACAACAGAGAAGTGAGACTGTGCTACCACCATTTTGGTGATTTCTCAAGCTTTTTCTTCCTAGTTCTCATTTCCTGAACATATTAAGTTACACCCCTTGTAACAGCAAATCCACTATTTTTTTTAAAACAGGAGAAAACCAAGTCAGAGAATAGCCAGTACATGTTGCTCAACCCTCCTATTTCTTAAAGAAAAATGCACAAACCAAAACAAGAAAAGCCAGTCTCTTCCCATGACGGCTCAGAATAACTCAAATAAACACCAAAGAAAGGGCTAAACATGAAAGCTCTTTTCACTTCCACAAGAACAGAACAGAAAATGCACATGTTACAATTTCAGGAGACCTCAGCATCTTCCGGATCTTGCCTGAAAAGGAAAAGCAGCTCAAAAGACCCTTTTAGAGAGAAAGTAGAGAACCTTCAATTGTGAGTTCAGTTATCTGTTAAAAGGGAGCCTTCAAGTAGTTGCCAAACCATTCTGACAGTCCCAGTTGCCCCGTAGCTGCCTCTGAGCATGGCTATGGGGAGGTCTGTACCTACCTGGTCACATCCTGCATTCACCAGTTCCTGCAGCATCTGCCGGTTCACTTCTGCAGCTGCAGAGGTGCCTGATTCATTAGCAAAAGGCAACAAGGAATATCTGATTTCCCTCAAGGCTTTCTGATAAGGTCCGAACTTTGGGGTGGCTCTCATCTGCTGCTGCTGCCTGGTGGCATCTTTGCTCCCCAGGATTTTGGTGTCCAGGGAAGTGTCACTGTTTGGTCCCACGGATAGCCCCTGAGCTGAAGACTTGGATGGCTGCTTTAACCCCTCACGAATCTCTTGCAGTCGCTGCCGGCTATTTCCAGAATAAGTCGTGGCAGGAAAAGTCTTTGGCCTCATTGTTAGTCCAGTTTCCTTTTACCATAAATACAATCTTCTTAAAGTGTTGTATTATTTTTTTTAAAAAACTGTCAATAGCATCAGTTTGTTGTAAACATACTTTCAAAACAATTTCCTTTGAAAATTTTCTTTCCTTCAATTTCTGTAGTTCCTGTAGAGAACCTAAAATTTTTCAAAGCCTTCATTGTGAAGATCACTCTCTGAAAAAGAAAATAAACGGGAGAGAAATGTTTATTTGCGGTTTTCATATAATGTTCACGCTACTATTCAGAATTGAACAGTGATCTTGGAAATATGTCACATGGAAAGAAAAGAAAGAACACATTACCTCTCAGAAATGACAGAAATACTGTTCAACCATGGTTAAAGCACATGACATCTAGGGTTGTCCCAAGATGTTTCCTGTAACACATATTCTGCAATAAAGTAAATTGCTATAAATATTCAATTCAGGGCAAGCGCGGTAGTATTAACAACTGACAGCTTGGCTGGGCGCGGTGGCTCACTCCTGTAATCCCAGCACTTTGGGAGTCCAAGAAGGGCAGATCATGAGGTCAGGAGTTCGAGACCAGCCTGGCCAATATGATGAAACCACATCTCTACTAAAAATATAAAAAACTGCCTTCTACTCTGAGAAAACACCAAATGGCGGAGGCCCCGGGGACCTTGGGAGAGGGAACCGTGGTGGCTTCATGGAGGTTTAGGCAGTGGCATCCGGGGCTGGGGCCAGGGCCGGGGCCAGGGCCAAGGCTGCAGAGCTCACAGAGGCAAGGCCGAGGATAAGGAGTGGATGCCCGTCACCAAGCTGGGCCACCTGGTCAAGAATGTGAAGATCAAGTCCCTGGAGGAGATCTATCTCTTCTCCCTGCCCCTCAAGGAATCTGAGATCACTGACTTTTTCCTGGGGGCATCTCTCAAGGACGAAGTTTTGAAGATTATGCTGGTGCAGAAGCAGACCCATGCTGGCCAGCGCACCAGGTTCAAGGCGTTTGCTGCCACTGGGGACTACAATGGCCTGTCGGTCTGGTTGTTAAAGTGTTCCAAGAAGGTGGCCACTGCCATCCGTGGAGCCATCATCCTGGCCAAGCTCTCCATTGTCCCCGTGTGTAGAGGCTACTGGGGGAACAAGATTGGCAAGCCCCACACCATCCCTTGCAAGGTGACAGGCTGCTGCGGTTCTGTGCTGGTGCACCTCATCCCTGCGCCCAGGGGCACTGGCATTGTCTCGGCACCTGTGCCCAAGAAGCTGCTCATGATGGCTGGTATCAATGACTGCTACACCTCAGCCAGGGGCTGCACTGCCACCCTGGGCAACTTTGTCCAGCCAAGGCCACCTCTGATGCCATCTCTAAGATTTACAGCTATCTGACCCCCGACCTCTAGAAGGAGACTGTATTCACCAAGTCTCCCTGTCAGGAATTCACTGACCACCTCTTTGAGACCCACACCAGAGTCTCCATGCAGAGGACCCAGACTCCAGCTGTGGCTACAACACAGGGTTTTTATACAAGAAAAATAAAGTGAATTAACTCTGAAAAAAAAAAAATACAAAAAATTAGCCGGGCATAGTGGTGCATGCCTGTCGTCCCAGCTACTCAGGAGGCTGAAGCAAGAGAATCGCTTGAACCTAGGAGGTGATGGTTGGAGTGAGCTGAGATCGTGCTACTGCACTTTGGCCTGGGTGACAGAGAGACTCTGTCTCCAAAAAAAAACAGAGAGCTCATTTAAAATACTTTATTATAATAAAATTTTATTTTGAAACTCATAGCTTGAGGGGTATTTAGAGTTAAATTTTCTACATGGGGTCTTGGATTTCTGGCTTGTTCCTAATAACAAATCAACTCCTTGTCCTTCATCCCCATGGCTTTACTAACTGCTCCCCTCACGTGAGATGTGGACCTTTCACATTTTAGAAAAATTTCTGAACTTTTCCTTATAAAACCCTCCCAATTTTCCTAAAATACACCACAAAGTCTGTCACATTAAAGGTGTCCTTTATTGCAAATGTTTCAATTGCAGTTTCCAAACCCACATTATGAGACTTTGAAGGCAACTACTTCCTTGATTTTTTTACAAGGTGGCCACTTAGCAGCATTTTGACCTAAATAGGAAAATTAAAATATCTTTCTTGCAGAAATTGATACTGACATGGAAAGGGACTGGTAACAGCATGTAGGCCACTTCTTTCTCAGAGTGCACCATGGCCACATGGATAAGAGTTATTAGTACAGACCAACTACGACTTCAGCACGGAAATGGCTTCGTTATATGGAACGCAGTGTTACAAAGGTACTTTACAGCAGTGAATCTACCTACCCCAGGCCTAGTTCACTGCCTACTCTGCTGTTCTTTGATTCAGAAAGCAAAATGCAGCCCAAGTCACTGCCCTCTGCAGCCAGCACAGGTGACTTGTCACAAGGCTGGGTGACCCTGGACCAGTCCCCTAGGCCTCCCTCAGCCCCCACTCCCTGCTACGTAATACAGACAAATGCTTAGAACAGTAGTGAGCACCAGGTCAGATGACAAGGGTGCCGGGACCTGTGGTACTTGGGACACACAACATCCTCCCTGCTCTTCACCCTGTGATGACTGTTTACATAACCAGCTACCCTAACCCAGGCATTGTGCCCGCTAGTGGGACAGGCAGAGCCAGCACCCCTCACCAAAGCGCTAGTGGCTGCCCCTTCCCTCACCCACTCCCCCTTACTCCACAGAACTCAATGAGCAGATTCTGAAGGATAATCATTTTGAGTTTTAATAAACGAAGAACAACTGATCCCAAAAGAGTACCCTTTAAACAGGGATGGGCAGAGGGATCTGGATGTTTAGCTTCCATAAGGAACTTTATAACTGTAAACCGTGACCCTGCTTCACAGATTTTTCAAGTGGAAAACCGAAAAAAGGATAGCTAATATTCACCCAGCCTTACTATGCGTCAGGTACGGTTCAAAGAGTTAATTTACATAGATCTATTGCAGAACCATATGCAACAGCAAACACTAAGAGAGGACAGTTGAATTCCTTGTTCTTGTTTGGATGGAAGGGGATTGTAATGGTTTCTACTATCACCTTTCTCAATGTAATTGTGTGAAGATTCCATTTAGAAAGTAAAAGAGAGACTACAATTTCTCAACATGAAATCCCTATTTTAATACAAAATATGATATAGTAAAGTCACTGAAATGACTGTGCTAAGACTGTGCAGATATCGAGCTATTAGATGCAAGGACAACTCAGATCCCCTGGGGCCTGTACTGGCCACACACCAGAAGCCTGGAGATCTGCTTCATTGTTGTAAAATGGAACATATTGCAGCCACACTCATTTCAGTGATTTTGTGCTCCAAGCATCTGTTTTGAAATACCTAACTTTCTAAAACCATAACTTCACATTCTGACAAAAATGGAGAGATTATCAAGGCAATGCCAAGAAATATGGAGGATCCTAGGAGTGACTCAGTACGTCTGGGAAGAGACAGTAGAGTGCTTTCTTTTCCTGTAAGAATTTACACAAATCAGTTTCCAATTTTTAGTTTTCTTCCCTTTCTTTGAAAATGAAAACAGAGAAAACACAGCCATACTATCTTCACAAGAACAATCAACGCAAAGGAGGGCCTGACAATACACAGGGAAAGTTTCTTATGCCCAGAATACAGTCACTTCTCCACCTACCCATCTAGCCCATCCACCCTCTATCTACCATACAAACATTTATTAAATACCTACTCAAGGCTGGGCACTGTGGCTCACACCTATAATCCCAGCACTTTGGGAGGCCAAGGCAGGTAGATCACCTGAGGACAGGAGTTCGAGACCAGCCTGGCCAACATATAGTGAAGCCTGTCTCTACAAAAAATACAAAATTAGCCAGGCATGGTGGTGGGTGCCTATAGTCCCGGCTATTGAGGAGGCTGAGCCAGGAGAATCACTTGAACCAGGGAGGCGGAGGTTGCAGTGAGCCAAGATCACACCATTGCAGTCCAGCCTAGGCAACAAGAATAAAACTCCATCTCGAAAAATAAAAAATAAAATACCTACTGAATCTCAGGTACTGATAGCATAAATAAAAACAAAAATCTTGCCTTCAGCAAGTTTACTGTCAAGTGAAAGATGGGGTGAGGCAGGCAAATAAACAGCTTCAAAAAAAGAGATACCTGGACAATAAAGAAGAAAAGGCTCTGAAGCAGAAGTAATTAGACCTGAGTGTCAGGAGGAACAAATTCCAGCCAGAAGGAACGGCATATGCAAAGAAGCCTCCAGGCTCCACCCACCATATTCAGGTCTGTGCAGTGTAGGCTCTTCCTGGAGACACGGGAGGCCAAGGGACTGGGGGGCAAGGGGTGCAGGGGATGAAACTGTGGAGGTATCCAGAGGCTCAATTCCCAGCCATGTTGAGTCCGGACTCAGTGCAGAGGATGGGCAGCCACTGTCCATGGTTTAGCTAGAGTGACACGGCCTGAGTGGAAGGTGGACTAGAAGGGACAGGTGCAACACTCTCTGGGTGAGGAGCAGCAGCCCCAGGGAGCAAGGAGAAGGGGTTTCGGGTCTGAAATAAAGGCACAGATTTACAACAAAGGGGTGTTGGCATCTGCTTATGGGACATTTGCCCAGCCAGTGGCCTGCCTGCTCAACCATGAAATGGAGCTGCCAGGC